TTTGTATTCTGCCTGCTTGACTTCATTTTGTGTTTATAATTTATATATTGGTTTACCTGGTCTGTATATCATTGCATTAAGACTCAAGGAAACTCAACCATCTCTCTGCTTACATTGAATTACAATCTCAATTTACTATTATATTATATTAAAAATTGATATTCTATAAGATTAAACACAGGATCTTGATGAGCAGGTCAGTAATGTGTTAAAATAGAAAAGATCAAAGATGATCAATTTGTATAAGTAGGGCAGAAACATAGGACATTAATAATAATTCTTAAAGAATTAACCAGAAGAGATTAAAGGCATATTAACCGATCACATGGTTTTACGCTAAATCACAATGCCATCACTTGATTAGCAATAGAATTTGATAAGATTAAGGCAGGAGATCTGGTTTTAATATATGGGAAAGGGAAATAAGTTTATGTTTTTATAAGGACTGAAACAGAGCAACTGAGCTGTGTATGTAGTGCAAAAATACAATAACGCGAGTTAATCGCATATGAAAATATATAATAAACTGCATAAATTAAAAAATGTAGGTTATGGTTTACAGGCCTTGGAATGTATGTTTACATTCCAAATGGTAGCGCTCATGCACTCGTAGGACTTCAAAATGTGTTAATTGAGTTACTTAAACCAATGAATGACACCCAAATTGCTGATCAACATTTCAACCAAATGTTGTCATTATCAAAAAGAAAACAATATATGCTCACATAATCAGGTCCGGTGATTAAAACTGAGGGTGTGTATAAGAAAATGCAAAAAGAGGCTATCCCAATGCCAGAACGTGACTTTCTGAGTAAAATTTGAACAGATAAGAAAAGTTATACCAATGACAATAAATGATGGCTTCTGTAATTTGTAAGCATGGAATCCATCATCGTTGACCTTTCAGTCATTGCATCACTTTACCTAGCGAATGGCTAGGAAACTAGGAAAATGATAGAAAATCAATCCACAAAAATTAAAAGCACACCACTTCAGTAAGTCATTTGCACTGATATAATAAGCAAATATGCCATCATTTTACCAACAAAATGTGTATATATGCTAAACAGAGAATTGTGTAGAAAAGACCAGTTCATTCTCGTTATGGCAATATGAGCACAGCAGGAAAAACATTTTATTTAGACAATCTTATCCGTTTTGGCCTAAAAGGTGACTGTAAAAGTCAGATTAAATAGCTGACTTGTAAACATTCTTCAATTCAGCTATAGTCCCCATCAACATGTTTTTTTTGTTGTCTAGATTTTGCATTTTTGTCAGTTTACTTAAATTTCTTGATTAGATAAGAACCCCCACTTTCAGAAAAGTAATTGTTCTTCTGGCTACACCTTCATTTATTTTAGACTTTAGATCTTGGTTCAAGAAATTGATCATTGATAATGATGATGTAGATTTTGTGACTTAACAGTAGGTAACATTTGTATTGACGGAAACTTACATCTATCAATAGGCAGATAGCAAGCATTATATTTAACCCCTTAAGGACACATGACATGTGTGACATGTCATAATTCCCTTTTATTCCAGAAGTTTGGTCCTTAAGGGGTTAAATACGATCTTAGGCGTAAAAAAAAAAACAGAATCCCATAAAATAAAGAAATAATCAAAGTATTGTGTTCTACAATATTAAAATTCTAACTCTAAATTTACATTTACGGGTTTATAGACTACATAGTGCAGGGATAGGCAACATTCGGCACTCCAGATGTTGTGGACTACATCCCCCAAAACGCTCTTACACCCATAATGTTGGCAAAGCATCATGGGTGGTGTATTCCAAAATATCTGGAGTGCCGAAGGTTGCCTATGCCTGACATAGTGCATTCAGGTTTCCTTGTAGATCAGTTATTTTGCCCTGACTTTATCATGCAATTCACCAAGTTACCAGAATTTGTTGTTTTTCCATTAGGTCTGTTTAAATTCACTAAGCACCTACTTATTAGAAAAGGGAACATTTCTCTACATATTTACCATTATCCCATTACCTAAAACAGTTGCCTTAGGTAACATGTGACAACGTTTGTCTTAAATATGTTCTTCATAATAAATATAAAATGTGTTAAACATTTCCTGGTACTTAAGACATATTTATTTTATATAAAAGAAATAATATAAAATATATTTATTTTCATGGGGTTTTTTTACATTTATTTACACTTGCATTAATTTGTTTTTCTTGTATTGGTAGTATCACTCCGTATAATTCTTATTTACTGAAAATCCTGAGATGTATCAAGATTCCTCTTTTTAATATTCTTTGGATCTGTGAAATCATCATATTTCTTAGTACCATAAACAGCAAGATCATATAAAATGGTTGAACTATTTTTATTTATTTAATTATTTTTCGTTTATTTATTAATTGTTGGGGGGTTTTTTTGTTTATTTTTTTTCATTTCAGGGCTCAGTCAAAATTTATAGATACCTCAGTAGGAGAACATTGTTGATTAAATAACTGTCACGTTCCCGTACATTCATTTGGAAGTCTAATATGCATATATTTGCCTGATATTTGTTTGAGAGAATATGCAAAGCTTCACTCTTTGAATGAAAATTCATCAGAAGTATAGAAGAATATAAACACAATAGGTGTTTATTCGCTGAACCACAAATTTGCAGTGAATTAAAAACTGAATTGGAAATGTTGCAAAGTTGTGACTATAACTCCTTTGGAGAATTTCTCGAAATCTGTTTTTTTGTTCTGCTACTGAAACTTTGCAATATAATCTCCAATTCACTATAATTCATTGTTTTAGTGATTTACACCCAAATGGCATGTTTTCTGTCCTTAGTGCTATTAGAATATGCATCTTCCTGACAATGACAAATTGCTGGGGAACTATGAGGACAATTAAAGGATTGTGTCCTTATACACTAAAAGGGGAAGCCATTTTTTATGTATTGCCCTCATTATATTGCTGAAAGAGTGAAATGATACAAGGGATCTTAAAATTCAGGGCACCCCAGCATTCTAACCCTCATGGACTTTTGATGAATTGTGAGGCCCACACCGGAGGCTATGATAATTAGGAGTACCCATTTTGCAGGGGGCATGGGAGATGCCCACTAGACTTTATACTCTGCCCACCTCTGAGATTGCCTCCTAGTTTAATGGGAATCTTGTTTTTAATATTTGTCCACTAACAAAACTGAACTTTTTTTCCTGACAACATTTTGATGCTTGATAGAAAGTCTTTTAAAGCCAGTATCAACAAGATTGTCAGATTCAAGTCAAGTCAGTTCAAGTCAATAATTTCTCCCAATCAATTTGCTCTTAATGAATTGTGCAAGAATAGGCCACATTGAAGAAGTCGTTAAGTTAGGTTGTAACAACTTTTTCTGAGGACGTTTAATTGCTGCAGGAAAAGTGTACAGAAGGCTCAGCGCTTAAAAACTTAAATAAAGGCAGCACACCTAAAGGATAGCGCTCCCTCACAGGCCCTAAAGGTATATAGATATAAGGAAAGAGAGAAAGGTGATGCCACAGAGATAATATATAAAATGAAATATAAGCAAGTAATATAGAAATAAACAATGGCATATAATACAGAGACAGAACAATAATATGTAATATATATAAAAATATAAAAAGAATAATCTAAAAAGAATCCAGTAAAACCTTTGGATTAGAGAACAATCAATCTATCTAAGGTAGAGACGTCTATGAAGTAGTGGGATTGAGGGGTTCGTGGGATCCATATGAAAAAGTAAAGAAACTCTAATAGTGCAATAAAACCTAAATAGGTAGCAGCCAATAAAAGAGGTCTTTATGGACGTGAGTAGGACCAGGTGGAACTTGGACACACGTCTCTTTTCAGCTTATGTAACTATGTAACCAGTAGCAAGCTAAAATGGGGAACAGATGTACGTCTCGTGTCTTAACTACACTTAACTACAAATGGCACTATATGTATGGAGAAATGTGACAGCACATGGGGTAAAAGTATGGGGTAATATGATGAAAACTAATGTTGGGTAATACAAGGCTGAATAAATACTTTGGAGAATTATAGCGTATATGGAAGGATGTATTTATTAATTATTATTAATTAATTTATTATTTATTTATAAAGTATTTCCCCAGGAAGGATATACAATGTTTTCTCTCATTTTGAAGTATGTCCTTGGCTCACAAACATTGCATTGTTTAAATAGGGTACAATATAATATTATTGATTTTAGGATTGTGATGTAAGCCGACAATGTATCAGATAGAACGTTCTCTGTCATAGATAAGGATCGCGGTAAAGTTAAACCAGCAAAATGATTAATATTTAGAAGCTTCATTTATTTAATATACGTTTTACTGATCTCAAGATTTTGAGTCACTGATTTTCAAAGTCTATAAATACAAGTAAGAAAAAAATAATTTCTATTAAAAATGGTCTCAATGGATAGTGACATGAAAAGCAAATTTATATTTTATTTTCTAGACCAGGGGTTCCCAACCCAGTCCTCAAGTACCCCCTAACAGTTTATGGATTACCCAGTTGTGTCTAAGGTGTTTTTAGAAAAAAAAGAAACACTTTAGACACAGCAGAGTAAGCCCTAAATCCTAAACTGGTGGGGGTACTTGAGGACTGGGTTGGGAACCCCTGTTCTAGACTTCATAAACATGTTTCTGGTGGTCACTTGGTTGACCTAATCTTTATAAAATAAAGTTTATAAATTAGTATGTATATCCAATGATTCACAGGTTATATAGTTTCGTACCTGGATGCTAACCTCCCACTTCTTCAACTTTCAGCCATATATGAATGCTGGACATCTGGTAACCCTAAAATTACTCTACATGCTCTTGTGTCTGCTAAACCCCAACTCTCTACCTGATCTCTCAGTCTATTAAACACGTAGGGTTTTGTTGCATGCTTACATAGATCCTGAAAAATGAAAAAGGTCCATCAGGTTCTGTCACTCATATTAATGTTGTAGATATTACTGTGCTATTACTGCTGTTTATCTCAAATAAGGTAAAAAAAAAAAACTTCACTGATTTCCAATTTTACTTCTAACTGGGAAAAAAACATTTCTTGACTTGAGAATAGCAATCAGGTAACCAGAAATATTAACTATTATAAACTTGAATATTCTTAGGGTGAATTGTCTTGTTTGTTTATTGTTGTTTAAAAATCTATTCAGAATCTAATAAAAAGAAAACTATTTAGGTTTAGCAGAAAACTACCCACTTTATTTTTCTTATTATGTAGTTTCCTTTCCTCTGCGCTATGTAAAATCTTCTCTTCAAGTCAAAATGGATGATCTCTTATCCTGCCAACTGTATAATTTAATTTCTTCTAAATTATATTTAAAAAAAATAAAATTAAATAATAAATAAATATATATATATATGTGTCCTGATGAAAGTTCGCAATATAGAAGTGAAACGTTGATTGAATTTTACTTATGGAAAGTACTTGTTGAAAACCAATAAAGAAAAAACTTCTTTTGGATCTTCTTAGAGTGCTTGCTCTTCGTGTATTTTTATCTACAAGTGGAGCAGAGCACCGGGTAATATATAAAATGTTTTTTTGTTCAATAGGAGTTCAGGATTTTTTAGTATTATATATATTATATATATATAATAGTACAAAAATACCGGCACTCCAAGGTTTTAGTAAATCAATCTTCTTTATTCCAATAAATCCAGTGGTTAACGTTTCAGCCCCTAAGTGGAGCTTTCATCAGGACAGGTGAGGTCCTGATGAAACTCCACTTAGGGGCTGAAATGTTTTGTACAATTATATTTCTCATGTGACCAGAGCACCAGGTACCATATATATTTTTGAGTTGGAGTGCAAGAGCTTTGAAGTAAATATTTATATATTTTTATTTATTTATTTATTTTTATGAACACATATGTAATGTTTATAAAAGCAGAGTAAATTAACATGTTCCATCTACATTTGATAATTTACAGATAATAAATTTGAAAAGATTTTTGGGTGGGCCACTGGAGGTTTATAACACTTTTATTACTCTGTGAATTGCTGTGGATGATAGTGCTTAAGGGGTTATCTTATCTAGTATATTGCTTTTTAATTTAAAAACAAATAAAGATTAACATTTCTCCCTTAGGATATACTTGAAAACTCCTGTTAACTAATTGTATCCATCCTTTAAAATATTTTAATATTATGTTGTTTTCTCATCTTCTGTGCAGAGATCAGCTTTTTTATCATCAATGCTTTTTATTAAGGCATGTTAGGTGTGCAAATGGTCATTAAGGGGTTATTTTTCAAGCATTTTGTTTATTGGCAAGAAACTAAATGCAATTTTAAAGGGAGTCATTTGTATGTGGAACTGTCACATTCATAATCTATACATGTGCCATATTGAAGCCTGATCTATAATGATCTTGGATGTGGTTGTAGAAACAACTGTGACACTTGGTGGCATAGCTGTCTAGACTACTTGTACTGATGTCTGTCTTGCCTTTTGTGTTACCTGTGTTATATATTCATATTTTAATTCTCATCTCTATGTTTGTAAATGAGTATCAGGAAACCTAATTCAAAAAAATTCAAAAAATGCAAAAATGTATAAAACATTCTTTTTGGTAAATATTAAAAAAGGGTCACTGAATAGTAACATCTACACTATGAACACCTAGCCTCCTGAGATTTATGCTTCAATCGTATATTGATAATTAAAACGATAGGTAAAGGCCACACCAAAATGGAGCTGACCTTTGTTTTCTAAATAAATATATAGAAAAAATATTAGAAAATAATATGATGTTTTTTTTTTTTTTTTAATTAAATATTCATGTGTGAGTTTCCTCTAGTCCACGTGGAGCAGGATGTGGTTTTTGATTTATCACCAATCCTGGTTCATATTCCAGAAATATTCTCCAATAGGGGTTTGTAGAATATCGTGCCCAACGCATTCTTCAGAGTTGTGTACTAGATTTCCTTAGTTCAGGAGATATTATTTTACATATATATATATTTTTTTATTAATTGATTTGCTGTTGAGATAAAGAACTGTTCGGTAATACACCACCATTTAAAAATATGGTTTGACCTTGCTGATGTTTGTTATAATGGGAAGGCAGGTTTAAAAAAATGCCATTATGATGGAAAATTTCCGTCATGTGTCCTTAAGGGATTAAAGGTACCTTATACATAAACATTACTAAATCATTACACCCCCTAAAAAGACAACTAGCAGTTCAGAATTAAATGTAATAAATTGTGCAGTACTCTTTTTATTTTGTATACATTTAAAAAATCTGTATGATATCAAAACAAATTCTGCTTTAGGATGTATGGAGTCTTCTGTCCCTTTAAAACAGGATAATTTCTGTTCTTTTTTTTTGCGACGTTTAGAGAAAAGTTAACAGATACTTCATTCTATTCCTATGGCATTACTGACAACACTACAGTCATTCAATTACTCTCAAACTCATTTCCTTTGCTCCTAAGAAATTAAATCCATCTAATAATACTGGTGGATTATAGATTAACTACCTTCAATATTTTTCATACATTAGTGAAAAATTAATGGAAACTAAATTCATGCATGCTAATAATAAATCCATTTGTAATTTGCTTAATCAGACTTTATATGTCTGGATTACATTGATGCATTGCAACATTGCTAAACTGATATATGTCTTACACTAGATCGTTATAAATACAGTCATTGCCCCCATTATGATTTGGTAAACCAAGGCTTCTGAAGGGAATACTTTATTTAAAGTGAACTCAAAGATAGCTACTAACATGGTAGAAGCTTGAAAGCCAAACTTAGCCGGCATGTAAACTTTAAAGGGGAACATACAACATTAAATACATAATTGAATACTAGGTATACCTTGTTTTAAAACTTTTTTGATGAAATGCTCTTTTTTCCTTTAAATATATATATGACATTTAGCAATAAACATTATAATCCAGTTCAATCCTAGCAAAACAAGGGGACTCATCCAAATGAAGAAAGAGAAACAGAAATATGTTGAATGTCAGGTGCAAAGGGCAGAGGTTATAATAATAATTGACAAGAGTCAAGGTGATAAAATAAGGAGATACAATAAAGTTTGGTGAATTTTAAGGCCTCTCATATAGAATAAGTAAATAAAATATTATGAAATGTAACAATGATCAAAGAAGATGAGCCTATTGGTTATTACCTGCCAAATATCTTATTTGAAGGATTGTATCCAACAAACTTGGAATTTAAGGACAAGTTTAACCCCTTAAGGACCAAACTTCTGGAATAAAAAGGCTTCATGACATGTCACACATGTCATGTGTCCTTAAGGGGTTAAAGACAAATATGTGAAAAAGACATCTTAGGCTACTTCAAAGAGGCTCTTGGCCTGTGGAGGAGGTTTGGAAGAACAATATAACATGCCAAGAAATCCCCACTCATCTGGCCAATTAAATACATCATATCTATATACAAGTAACGTAGAGAGAAACCCAGCTGATGTTGTCCTGCATTATTGTTTTTTTACCAGGACACTTTTTTTAATGTGATTCAAGATCGCTAAATTTGGATGGCAGGATTTTTCATTGTACATCTGTTAGCTGACATTCTATAATTGCATAGTTAGCTTTACATCCAATATGGCCTGCACTACAATTAATGGACATTAGAGGGGGCGAGCCGGCAGCCATATTGTCACGTCAAACATTGCTGAATCCCTGAGTGACCATACTTGCAAATTGCCTAAAACATAAGAGATCTGACAACTACGTGGCACCTACTGTATCTACTAATTACCTGGCGTCATGGGGCATCAGAGCAAGAAGTGCAAGCCCGATTGACCACCCACAACAGCTGATATTGGCAATCTGCTGTGGAGGCCGCATTCCTCGCAGAAGCCTGTCTTGGCACCACTCTCAGGTGGACCCTCCTCCACTACTGGTGAGGAGTACCTGATTAAAGAAATGGCCCGCGGAGTCTGGCTTGAGAGCAGGGAATTCACGCCCACCGCCGAAGCAGGTTGCCAAGCTTCCGGTAATAGAGGACACTCTGCAGGGCTTGTTAGATGAACTACACTGCAATAATCTGTTCGACATCGTGCAATTCCAAAAGGAGATTAATAGGCTCTCAGCACACCTCTACAATTCAGAGCTGACCCTAGCTGACTTGCAGCATGCACAATCTCAAGCCCAAGACCACATGGCTGTTCTTGAAGAACATTCAAGTCCGAGGCCTACCAGACATTCTGGAATCTGCTAGATTTCCACATTTCTTCCGCAGATTACTCACCATGCTTTTCTTTGCCAATCAAGCCAAATCCATGGCTCTAGATGGCTGGCACCGCATTCCAGGACCCACCACAGGCACACTGAAGATGGACAGGTATATAATTCTCTGCTTTCAACAGAGCCAAGATCGAACAGCCTTCATGGCGGCTGTCCGCAACACTGCACTCCTTAAGTTTGAGGAGCATACCCTTACCTTTTACCTGGACTAATCCAAGACCACTATGGACTGGCATCGATCCATGAGACCACTAACACAGGCTCTTGCCACTAAAAAAGTGCCATACAAATGGGGCACACCTCACAACATACTTATCCCTAGGGAAACGGGCACGCTAAAAAGGCTTTTATCCTGATCCAGCTTGGATTGGTGACACAGGCATCTGAGACCTCACCTTCGAAAACTTCTACTACCTGGGATTTGGAGAGGGTCACAACGTTTATAACAGCGGCCCGCAGGGGTTGTTCCTCGACAGTACCGGTGCCCTGATAGTACCAAGGGCCGCACTGCAGTTTATTTTAAGTCTACTCGTGTATTATATGCTTTGATTTCAAACAGTGCTACAGCGCATACTTGATTTATTTTTTGCCTCAACACTGCCAAACTGACAGCTCACTTATTTCTGATCATAATGACCCTGTGATTCCCTCCCACTGCTCACTAACATTGCAACAGCGTTATAGTGCCATTTAAGTGGGGTAACCAGCCTCCTCGACTCTCCTAGCGGTATATCCCCTCTAGATTACACTACTCATGAATGGAGGCATAACCTGCTCCATGCTCTTACATACCATACAAACCATTTCAACATTATAACATAGGTAGCGGATGCAAGGTGTTTAACTAGCCTTTGAATCTTACTTATTTCAATATAAAATCTTAATACTCCTCAGTCTCAATGGTAAACTGCTTATGTACTACACATGCATTACTGTATTGTTTATGTTTCCTGAACATTACCTTTTCTATTTACTGTATTGTATTTTGAACTACTATCCAAGAATAAAGAAAGATTGACTAATGGACATTAGATCACATGGTTCTCGAACAAGCATCACTTGACACTTGTTTTTCTAAACCAACAGGCAAACATTTTTAAACAAATATACACATCAAAATAAAGCAAGAAAACTTTGAAAAGTATGTAATAAACATGTATACATTTTAGACACCTATCTCAGTTTCAAAGCATTATTGTGCAGAGCAGGAGAGTAAAACCTGACACCAGAGCATGTTCTACATGATAACCCTGAACAGAACCCCTCTCTTCTCCTCCTGTCAGGATGTTGCAAGGTGAAGAGATCCTTCACCTGCACCTGTGTAAATCTGTCAGATATGCCCAATGCACTTTTCCAGCATTCTTAGGGATAGGACACTGATTGGTTAGATTAGAGTCTCCCTTAAGTTGATGTGTATAGCATAACAAAAAAGAAACAAGTAAATAAGGGGAAGGAATATATATTTACCTACTATTTTTCCATGCAGAGTGAGGCAACTGTCTCATTCAAAGCTAAAGCTTTTGAATGAGACAGTTGTCTCAATGTGATGCATGACTCTTTACTCAACTCTTCCAATGGTTTAAGGTTTCTTCTGCTACTCATGATTGTAATACTTTTTGAGGTTCTATATTATCGGTAGAACTGTTACTCATTTACTGATTTCTAATTATTTAAATATGAATGGAATTATTTTGTATCCACAGGTAAAGGTTTCATCCACTGAAATAGAAAAACGGGAATAAGAATTCTATTATTTGTACAAAATGCCAGTTTTAAAGAAAGAATCGCTGGAGAAAACAGCAGACAAAAGTTGTGAAGATGCAGAGGTAGAGTAATATTTTCATATACTTGAGAACCAGTTATTAAAATGGTTGATGATTAATTTTCTAGTTAGCAAAAGTTATCTGAGAAATTGCTTTGCCATGTTTAATTTTAAATAAAGGCTGGAGTAAATACGAGCAGGAAATATCAAGCAAATATTATTCATTGCTACTATAGAAAAGTGATCTGAGAGCACTTTGATTCCCGTGATGGAAGTTTAGGACAGCTCAGAAGCATAAGGAGCTTCTAAAGTCCCATATGTGGCTGGACAAAGGTTAAGTAAAAATACATTTGTCCTGAACACTTTGAGGTTAAAATTTATAGCACACAGTGTGTGTGTGTGTGTGTGTGTGTGTGTGTGTGTGTGTGCGTGCGTGTGTGTGTGTGTTCGATATGACCATTGTGTGCTATGAATTTTAACCTCATAGTGTTCAGGACAAACTTCTTTTTACTATATATACCTGAGCCATCCGCACAACTATTGTCTTTAAATGTCATATATTAAGTATGACATTTAGAGGCAGTGGTTGTGTGCATGACCCAGTCTTGACAATAAGTCTTGATCAACTAGCCCAGCACAGATACCCGAGTTGTGTCATTGTGTGTGTGTGTGTGTGATTGGGCTATCCAAACAAATATTGCCTTTAAATGTCATATTTAATAGAAGACATTCATAAATGCATGTGTGTCCCTTTAATGTTCACTGCAAAACTGCCATGTTTATAAAATAGAAAGTGCTCTGAAGTCCATTAGCAGAATTCTTTTACATATCGCATCAATCAATTTCAAAACTCATAAACTGTGCCTAATTTTTTTTACTCGTCCTTGTTTGTGATAATACGCCATAAGACTTCATTCCGTTTGGGTAAAAATAACTAATGAGCAGAGGATGTGATACGATATGTGAACTATTCAAAAGATGGCAAATAAAGAGCATATTCAGTGTGAATGGTATCAGATCAGCTGATGTCAGGGGCTATGACTAAATTCCTGTAAGCATGGAATGCACTAAGCAAGTCGTCTAAGCTATAGAATAGTGTTTTCTTTTTGCTGTGCATTGGCACACCAGATATTTTGTCTTCTGTCACTGCGTTCTCCTATTTGCTACAGTCATCATTGCAGTTTCATGAAATTGCTATTCTTTTCCAATATTTCTGAGTAATAGCTAGAAATGTTTTGCTTGTTTGATGCACTATAAGCTTAAACAAGGAAAGGGTCTTTTGCCATTTGTAGTATTATATTAATTCTACACAGCTTTGCTTTGTTTCCCTTTAACTGCCCATTCCTGTCGATAGATGTTTAGACTGATCAATGCATTTCTTCCAATACTACTTACTCAAACTAAGGAAGGAATGCATTTCTTCCAATACTACTTACTCAAACTAAGGATACAGTTGTATTATCTTGCTAGGTGAAACCTTGCATATATTCAGTAGTGTATTTAAGTTTTTTTGCTGTCCTAATGTGTATAGTATGTGTATAGTATGTGTGAATAAAAATGCATGCACACAATGTTGATGAAAGAATGTGTTATTTGTGGTTATATCACACATTCACATACACATGGTGAATACATTACAAGCCACACATACATATACATAATCAGCTACACACACAAAAACAAAAAACACTCATATTAATGCATACATAGGTTGTGGCTTAACCGCTGAGGGAGATGCTTAGGTTTGGAGCTCCTTGACAGCATAGCACGACTTTAGGTTGATTGATCAAAACCTGCTAATATGAAACGCCGACGGAGATGGCGGCTAGATAGAGGAGCTCCGTCCCACATAGCTTCCGACAGCGTGCAAACGGCGCAATATCCTACCCGATGGGTCGCACAAGGAGGTCTGAATCCCAGCACAACAAAGGGGCGCAAGTACCACAGCAAACCGGACCGCTAGACGGGTTCCTCTGCACACCCGGCGGACAAACGCGTGCAAGGCCGGGCGCCAAAATGGCCGACGACCAGGCCATAACACCACCTCCTGACATGCAGGAACCCTCCCTAGCAGATATTAGGGCCGACATCAGAGCCCTCTCTGGGAACATGGTCACAAAAACTGACCTCCAGGCACTCTCTGCCACACTGCATGAGGTAATAAGGTCAGAGGTAGCTACAATCCAGAGGGACCTTACAGCACAAGATGGGCGCTTGAAACAATTGGAAACCACAACAGCAGGCAGACTGGAGGCCACTGATGCAGCAGTGACCAGACAGGGCAATATGCTCCTGCAACTAAGAAGACAGACTGAGGACCTAGACAACAGGGGTCGCAGATCGAATATCAGAATACGCAACCTGCCAGAAGCAGTGGCAGGGGAAGAAGATGTACCGACCTTACTAACCGCCCTGTTCAGGGACATACTAGGTCCAGAATCACCACAGCGCATAGAATTTGATAGAGCGCATAGAGCCCTGAGGCCACGTGCTGCAGACAACACACCTAGAGATATCATATGCTGTCTCCATGAATACAAAGTCAAGGAGCTGATAATGAACAAAGCAAGATCGAGACCAACCTGGCGGTTCCAAGGCGCAGAAGTAGCCCTGTACCAAGACCTCTCCCCACTTACACTAGAGGCCCGCAGAGCGCTGAGACCGGTGACTCAGATACTACGAAACGGTAACATACCATATAAGTGGGGATTCCCCTTCTGCCTTTTGGCCAGACACAACAATGAGTGGAAATCGCTCCGCTGGCCCAACGAAGTACCGGCCTTTTTACAAAGCATGGGATTGCCGCATACGGAGGTCACGGACTGGATCCTGAATCCGTCGGAGCTGAGACCCAACCAACCAGCACCCAGGGCACAGAGACGGCGCAGGGATGACTCGCCACAGAGAAGACCGGCACGCAGACCACAAAACCCAGCTCACCATCCTGCACAACCGGGAGTCTAACACCTACACAACTGGCGGCCAGGACGGCGAACATTCCGAGGGGCACAAAGGAACTGCGGACGCCCACACCATCTACATGAGACAACCAGATAAGTGCAAATGACATTTAGACACTGACAAGATGACAAACACAGACTTTTGTAGCTATACATGAGCGTCAAGGCGAGGGGCAAGGGGGACAACGTCCTGAGAGGGCCCGCAACTATGGACACATTACCTTGGGTCGACTCTACTTTGGGAGGGAAGGTTATGGAGGGCAGGGGTGGAGGATTCATATGCTACTGCAATCTCAAAGACTAACTACCGAGACTGGGAGTACGAATACTTTGAAAACTGGGGGAGGGGGAACGGGGGGAAGGGGGGAAATTTGAAGCGGACTGCATAAGGGACTTAATAATAGGGATACGCAAGCGAGGTGGTGGAGAGAGGAAGAAGCTGACGCCGCTGCCGGGAGACGGCTGGTACGGGGAGGGGGGCGCCCCTGCGGAGGTAGGGGAAACTGGAAAACTAGGGAGATGGGAATCACATCCCAAGGGAAGAGAGAGTCTAGGGACGTAAGAGGGGGGATAGACTGGGACGCTATCACAAACTGCAGTTATCGGGGGGAGAGGGAGGGGACAGGGGGGGGCGATACTAATTTTATTTCATAAAAAAGGGGGGGGGGGAAATAATTAAAAAAAAAAATATATATATATATATATATATATGTATACTAACAATAAGAGGGAGTCACCTTGGCACAACCCCCCGATCCCGCAAGACCCATGACAATACCCTAGATAACTCCACGGCACCGCTCACAGAAAGAGGTAGTGGGAGTGAGGATAGACGGGAGACGCAACGGGAAGGAAGGCAAGATGCCCACAAGTCACGGCAATGGAAGTTATTGTAGGGGCTGGAACAGAGGGCTACATCATGATCGGCCTCACCCTAGAATGGACCGGGAACCCAACCCATTAATAGACAGGTAGACGAACACGTACTAAAGACACACGGAGCTAACCCCAAAACATCGCTAAAGTACGGATACAGGACACCCCCCTGCCCAGGAGCCTCCCACCCAGAATGACCTTGACAGACAGGACATACACGCAGAACACTGCTACCACAACAGAAACTACAACTAGAATTGCACCCTCATTGCATACACCACGCGCGAGCACCCCACCTCAGACCTGGCAACAGAACGTCTGAGTTACGCATCAACTCCCGCAAACTCAAACGCACCTTGCCCGGGACGACTCTCTAGAGATGAGTAAGCCACCAGACACGGGGGAAGTACAACACAACCTAACTATCTGACCCATTGACAAGGATTCACATGAGCTAACCATAACCTAGACTAATGCACACCTTAGCTGAGATCAACATAGTGGGAACGCTGACTCTGCTGCCACATTCGATCGAGCCACACACCTAACATCTAGACACTGCGAATGCAGGATCAGGCCACCTCCTGACCACATATCCGTGTAGACGGACCCACTGGGGGAGCCAAGGCCGAAGCCTTGCCGGGACACAAACCGGTGGTACGGCATTGGTAGCCCACCAAGGTACACGGAGTCACCCCAGATTGGGGCAACGGTTACTTTACCCCACGCCCTGACACGCTACACACAACCCAACTAAGGCCACACACGGCGACGACGAATAATCGCCAAATTAGCCTGAAGAAATAGTCACACACCACATACACGAACCTCACTGAGCTGTAGTCGCTACAGCTGTTCATTTTTTCCACTACTGTTCAATTCCTCTTCTCTTTACTCTCTCTTCTACTCCCCCCTTTTTTTTTTTTTTTCTCCTTCTTCTTTCCCTTCCTTCTCTCCACCAGAACCACAACGAGAGGCCTCTCTCTGGGACACACCTGGACCCACATCACCAAAGGAATCAGAACTGAATAGACGGACGAAGGAGCTGTAGGAGAATCCGGAACCACCAAATAGCCCACACAGGACCACAGATGGCGTACATACCGGCTGAGCTGGTCGTAAGGTCGCAGAACTGCAGAGGGCTAAATACACCCGAAAAGAGATCTCACCTTCTAAGAAGTCTCAAGAGACAACATGTCTCCATTGCACTCCTCCAGGAAACCCACCTCAGATCGGTCTCAAACACGCTACTTAAGGACAAACACTACCCTGTAAACTACTATAGCAATCACCAGACCTCTCGCAAAGGGGGAACCGCGATCCTCCTGGCCGCACACCTGCAATTCACCCTCACGGACCAAAAGATAGATGAAGGGGGAAGATATCTCTTCATCAAGGGGGAGATAGCGAACAAAACATACACGATCGCCACGATATATACACCCAACGCTGGACAAGCGAGCTTCCTGAGGCGCACACTGTTGAAGCTGTCAAGGTTCACGGAAGGGATACTCATCTTTGGCGGTGATCTCAACACGCCCCTAGATCCCCTCACTGACACGTCAACAGGGCGAAGCAGCATGCCCTACTCGGCGCGCAAAACTATACAAAAAGCTTTACGGGATCTACGATTGGTGGACACATGGAGAGCAAGACATCCAGACGACCGGGACTATACGTACTATTCCACGCTCCACAACAGGTACTCAAGAATCGATTACATATTCATACAACAGGAGGGTCTCACACACCTACAGAGAGCGGACATCCTTGCCACGCCATGGTCGGATCACAGCGCGACGCAGGTGACCATGTCACAAAAGCGTCATCAGAGGCCACCTAATCCGCATGGCCTCCCGAAAGAAAAAAGAAATGGGAAAACGAATTGTAGAACTGACGAAGAAGATATCAGATCTGGAAATGGCCCACAAACGCACCCTACAAGACCAGACCTACAGGGATCTCACAACAAACAGAAGACTACTCTCTCAACTGCTTGAGCAGAGACATGCCAGGCACCTCCAACGAAACCACGCATTTTTCTATAGACACGCCAACAAGGGGGGTAAGCTACTAGCACGCATGCTGAGAGGAGTACAGGGTAGAGCGCAGGTACATGCCCTACGCACCACACGAGGAACAATAACCCAATTTCCGGAAGAGATAGCGACCGAATTCCAACGGTACTACGAACAACTATACAGTATTCGAAAAGACGAGGACGAACTGACCCGCGATACGAGGAAGCTGGCCACGACGGACTACCTGGGAGCCTACAGACCGGACGCCCTAACACAAGAGGAAGCAGAAGCACTAGACGCACCGATCTCAGAAGAGGAGATCAAGAGAGCACTGAAAATGGCAAAAACCGGAAAAGCACCGGGACCAGACGGCTTCCCAATAGAATACCTCAAAAAATTCGGAAACATTCTTGTGCCCCATTTAACGAAGGCGATCAACAGCATACGAGAAGGACACACCTTTAGTAGGGAATCGCTGACAGCAACCAGTACGGTTATCCCTAAGCCCGGTAAAAATACAGAGCAGGTGGGAAACTATCGCCCTATATCGCTCCTCAACGCAGACATAAAATTATTTTCCAAGGTGATAGCGATGAGGCTTCAGACATTTCTTACAAGACTGATACACCCAGACCAGACCGGTTTCATCCCGGGAAGGGAAGCCAGAGACTGTACTCTTAGGCTGTTCGCGATCCAACACCTAGCCAAACAAACGAAGACAAAACTGATCCTATTATCAACGGACGCGGAGAAAGCCTTCGACAGGGTCAACTGGAACTTCATGATGGAGACACTACGCACGTTGGGCATGGGACAGGAGATACTCACCTGGATTTCAGCACTGTACAGCTGCCCGTCCGCCAGAATACGGGTCAACGGGGCCCTTACGAATAGCTTCGACATTCAGAACGGCACGAGGCAGGGATGTCCGCTCTCTCAGATCATATTCGCACTAACATTGGAACCACTCTTAGACCGTATCCGAAAAAATGAGAGAATAAGGGGACTATGCTATAAAACCCACGAACATAAAGTAGCTGCATATGCAGATGACATGCTCTTTTTCCTCAGGAACCCAACAGACTCCATATCTCCGCTCCTGACTGAATTCGAAAACTACGGACGCCTCTCGGGATTAAAACTCAACCTGACGAAATGTGAAATTTTAAACGTTACTGTATTTGAAAGGGAAAGCGCACAACTGAAAAGCAACTACCCATTCCAATGGTGCCAAGGACGGATGAAATATCTGGGGTTATGGATCACACAGGAATCGAAAGACATCTATGCACACAACCACACACCCCTTCTGACTACCATACTCAGAGACCTCGAGCGGTGGAACCATACCCACATTTCCTGGCTGGGGAGGATAGCAGTGATCAAGATGAATATCCTCCCCAGAATTTTATACTTATTTCATACAGCGCCACACACAATTCCACGCACTTTCTTCGCAAGATTGAAAACAGCATTCATTCAATACATATGGAAGGGAGACAGGGCGCGAATTAGCTTCGACAAACTCAGCCTCCCGAGAGGTTGGGGAGGACTAGCACTTCCGGATATCAAACGTTACCACCAGGCAACAGCCATGCAAAGGATAAGAGAAATACACATGGCCTCAACACAAAAACGGTGGGTGACACTTTGGAAAGACACCACCGACAACCGACTACACTCGCTGATATGGCACAAAGAAACGGAAGCGCATTCAACCTTGGGAGAGGATTCCCCGGTTACACAAATGTTAAAACAATGGTCCACAATGAGGAACGAACAACAGATTTCACCCAAGCCAAGCCCGTTAATCCCCATAACTCATAATCCACAACTGGGGGATGGACTCGCGGCATCTGCGTGGCCAATCGATACTCCAGACGGGTACATACCCATACGGTTCTCAACAATACGGGAGTGAAACCACTTAGGGAGCTGGCAGACGGAAACTCGCTCACGATCCTGCACCGGTTCCATTACGCGCAGCTGCTACACTACTACCATAACCTGCCGCACAGAACTAAAATACACAGGGACCTCACATGGTATGAAACACTATGCTCACAAGCACCGGAAGCGGACGGGAGGGTTTCGGCGATATACCGAACCTTAATCACAGGTAATAGAACAAACAACAACCTGTACAAACGACAATGGGAGGAATGGACGGACAATACGTTTTCAGATGACCAATGGGTCAAAATCCTGATACTACAACACAAGAGCTCCTCCAGCTCTCACTACCAGGAGGTAAACTTCAAACTACTGACACACTGGTACCGCACACCCTCTGTCCTCAGTCGATACATCCCGTCTATACCGAACACCTGCTGGAGATGCAATGCGGGCCCCGGAACGCTGCGACACATCTGGTGGGACTGCACAGTCATTGAGCCATACTGGAGGAAAATCGAACGCGAAGTTCGGAACATTTTAGACGACCCTCCAACCCTGACTATGGCAGCCGCCCTTATACACCACACGGAACAACCACTTGGCTCTTACAAGAAGTCAATTCTGAGACACCTGCTGAACGCTGCTAAATCGCTGATCCCGCTACACTGGAAGAAACAAGAACCACCCACGACAGAACAGTGGAAAAGTAAGGTGGAAGACATACGAATGGCGGAAGCCAAAATAGCAGAGATACTGGGGAGAGAAGAACGACATACGGAGACATGGAGACCTTGGCTGGCATATGTAACATAGAAGGTTACCCCATGCGTCAAACAGGTGGACGCTTTCCACACCTTCCCCTCCCCACATTTTTTTTTGTCCTCTCCTCCTCTCTTTTCTTCTTCTTTTCTTCTCTAACTCTCCTAACCTATAACATAACACAAGGATCACGGAAACATAACAACCTGGTGGGTGCCACACCACACCATAGTAAAAATACAGCTAAAGGAACAGCTACATGCCAATACACACTGGGCACACAAAAGCAAACTCAGAATGAACCATTAAACAAACACACCTAGTTACAGTTCTAGTGCTGACTGGAACGCACGGAGACAACCACGAGCACTCTAAGACATGGTCACCCACGAAAGCGGTTTATACTGCCTGGTGGTCGGCCATCTCAGAAAGCAACCCCAAACGGAGGTAAAGACAAACATGCATTAGCTGAAGTAGTGACCAAGGGAAGGGAGACCCAGGACCGTAAGACAAGCCCAACACAATGTACAGAACAATAAAGATGCACAAACGAACCACAGTATAACACACAACGCTAAAGAATAAAATGCAAGAGGTAAAGGTACATAGGACACTAGTATAACCGCCCACACCGGACATCCGGCCGAAATCCGACACAGATAGAAGTCCAGAAAGTAGGGGGCTACCAATGTCCAGAGATTGTGCCAATGCCCGGATAAAACGAAACTGACCATGAGATAGGGATCCCCATAGCGGAAGGAAATAAACCTAACCTCTATAGTTAAAAGAGCGCCCCATGATTCCAGAGAACGCAAAAACGAAGGGGAACAAGGAAAAGGTGGAGGAGGAGGAGATGGGGGGGGGAGGTAGAGAGGGGAGAGGGACAGAGAAGGAAAGGGTACAGGAGAAGAAGGATGAGAAGAGGGGAACTACAGGATGGAGGGGAAGGGGGGGAAGGAAAGGAGAGAGGAAGGGAAAGGGAATGAAGGAGATAGGGAACCTATAGACACATGAGGTTAATAAAGCCTATAAGTATCTAGGAATACTGGGTAAATGTTAAATACTTAACTAATTGTCACTGTAAGTGAGACCTGCGTGTCTCCCGATCCACTATTGCATGTTTGATTGTATATGCTACAGCAAATCTATACAAATAAACTTATATTTACAAAAAAAAAAAAACCTGCTAATATGGGGTTCCCAGACCAGCAAAGCCAATATTCCTCTTCTCTAATCCAATATTTGGTAAGTCGAGCCTCCATTAAATTACGTAAGAGGACTCTGTCTTGGAACTCTACTGATCCACTTCAACAGGTTCAGAAAGCATCTTGGAGGCTGTATATATCAGAGTTGATCCTAGACAATGTGGAAACAGCAAGCTGCAGAATCCTATGTCAGCAAAATTATACCTCATAAGTACAAGCAAATAAGGCCTCATCACAGGTGGAACATTGAGAGGGAGATCAAGATAACTTGCTTCTGGCACGGGCCACCAATACTTCCACCTAGGTGCTCCAAACCTCACCATTAACGTGCATGGTACTACACGTGGAGTACATTGATGATTGCAGCCACCATGATACTACACAGATATGTAGCCTACGAGAAACAGAAGAATTCCAGTGCAGTTGCGGAACATGCTTACTGAAATTTTCAATTCTATCCTAAACACAGATGTGCACGTACATAGAATACATAGAATTTGTTTGAGTGCAGATAGCACTGAGGCCGAGTGGCATTCCCAGCAGCTTTGCTTAAGATGCTGTCTGTTTCCTGATGAAATATTGGTTTAAGGAAAAGGAAAGATAACCTGGTACCACTGGCTCAGGTTCTGCAGTTGGCATCATTCCTCCAACAGTGGCCAAAGCTACTGAACCTTTAGTCCCCCAGGCTGCGAGAGCACCAACTGAAACCCTAAGCACAGCATGCCCAAAGACACAGGTAGGAGACCTTGCGACTTGCTGAAATCCCTGTTTAAATATTCATGCAAGTTCACTATCACCTGCTAGAATATGGGGCATCAGATATCCTAATAATTTCATAGGATCACTCTTGCTCTTTTTGAGTTATGATGGATCCCATCATACTACCTTACCTAAACTCTCTATAGCTCCTAGATAATTTCTGTAATTTGGCAGCTAATGGTCATTCCTAAAGAAACATGCTACCATCTTTCCCATCAACTGTGAGAATTCAAGTGGATTGGATCTCTTGTCACTTCACATTAGGTACATAAAATCAACCACTGTATTTTTAACAAATTTGCTTTATGTAGGAAATGTTCTTTATCTGTAATATAATTTTAAAGTTGTTGTACTGCACTTAATCATCTGATAGGGAAAAGGTGAGTCACTGGGACTGAGACGCTAGTGGATCTATGAAGGGGGAGCACTGGGAGGTGTGTTGCACATTATGCCATTCATCATTCTTTAGGTCATCCCTGGACAATACAGTAATATCAAAATATTCTAATATTTTAAACGATCCACAAATATTAAATCATTTGAAAAGTTAATCCAAAAATAACTAATCAAGGCTGTAATTTGGCAGTAGCCCTCTAAAGCTTTTGGCACTTGCTTTCAAGTAGGACATAGATCAGAAAGACAAATGGAGAAAGATTTATGTTTTGAAGCATCTAAGATCTGCTGCTTTTCTGGGGGTTTTTTTTCACTGCTAATTCAGATGTCAGCAGAGGGTGTCATTTAATAGTTCATCCTCCAGATAGTGTGGAATCTCAGTTTTTCTCTCTCCCACATGGTGCACTTCAGATTCCCCTTCCCAGAAGACCTATTGGGGTGCCACTGATCTTCAGTTAGAAAGATGAATCAGGATGAAGTCACTGATTTCCAGTACAATTGAGAAAATAAATCAAGATGATGAATGACAGAATCTGCAGCGCAACTCTTCAGCCACAGTACATACAGAGCTTCTGCTTCTGTTGGCTATGTAATAGTCAGAGGGGCAATCAGTCAGTCCAAGCATAAAGGGACACTCCAGGGATCAACACTACTTTAATGACTTGGTAGGTTTTGGCCGCAATAATAAGCTGTATTTTTTGCACGCTCAAATCTTTATAATTTACTTTATAGTTGAATTTTTATTAGTTTTGGGGTACAGAAGGAAAAAAAGGGGGGGACTGTTGGTACATTGTCAAATGCTCCTCAACTTATAGCAAGTACATTGATCGCATGTATGGTTCGTTGTTGGTATATTTGGGAAAGAGGTTGGGTACAGAAATCAAAGAGGTAGGGGTTAGGGGTAAAAAGTGGTACCATTTCTTGTCTTCCCTTCTCATGAGGGTGCTTGACAGCCATTTGGTCATCCTACCCCTTACATCTCCATGGGGTTATGCTTTCCTCAGGGCTACATTCTCAGTGTACCAGTGTGTCTTTCATCCATTATAGTGTATAGAAAACCTTCGCACCATGACGGGTATGTTTACTGTCAGGTCCCTGCTGTTGCTAGTGCGGGAAAGGAACAGTTAGGATTGCCGGCATGGTTCACTTCCCCGTCCAATTCCAACTATCTGGTACCTATGTCCTGCCTGCGGGAAGCTTGTGGGTTGTCAACAAGCCCTTGCGTGGTCATGTTCTTGGATTTTAGGGATCAAGAGTGGATGGTGGGATGCCTGGAAGTGGTCTGTCTCGGGTGTTGAGCGTACTTTAGTCTAAATGGGAAGGGAATGCTCTTTCCCTTAGTGGTTTCCCATTGGACAAGGAAATGGGATGGGGAGATAACTGGGGAAAACAGAAGTGTCCTCAAATCACTACACCACATCTAACCTAGTGTCTCCTTGCAATGTATAAACAATGTGGTGGGGTGTAGATATCGCCTTTTGATTGGTTCGGGGTGTTTTGTTTTTGGGTTTTTTTTATACTTAACTTCTCTACCCTCCTTATTATAGTATTCCTAAAGAGATTAGGTAACTCTTTGGCCCCGTATATATGTTGTTCATAACTCTTTTGCTGAAGTGCATTCTTTACCCATTTTTGTTTGTATTACCTCATATTCCAGAGAAGTGGAGACCAGCGTGACAACTTCCGAAATTGAGGGAATTAGTGTGATTTTCCACTTTTTTTGCCAAAAATTTAGAAGCTGAGGTGAGAGTGAGGATTATTAGCTTGGCTATACATTTGGGTATATAATCTGGTATTAGTTTGAGTAGTATGTTTCGATGTTGTGTTCTAGAATACACGCTGTTGCTCCCCTCACTAGATCTGCGACTTGTCTCCAGTATGGCTGTACTAACTTGCATGACCACCATATGTGGAGAGATGACCCTTCTTGTGTTAGACATTTCCAGCATCTATCACTTGTGTTGGGATATATTGCCTTAAGCCATGTGGGTACCATGTACCATCTGTACAACAGTTTTCGTGAAGCTTCCAGTTGGGAAGCGCATGTCGAAAGGCCTTTGTGGGTTGCATATATGCTGTTCCATTCCTCTTGTGTTAGGGGCTTGCCTATATCTTTATGCCATTTTGCCATAAAGCACCAGGTAGGTTCGACCTGGTGTGTGTTGGTTAGCTTATAGCATACCGACAATGTTTTTTGTATTGGAGTTTGGTGGAGGCACATCTTATCAAAAGGTGTGAAATTGGTGTCAAATGTGGGGTGGGGATTGGTCCCTGTGGATTTGGTGAAAATCAAATTAGTTGCCTATTAGTTGCCAATACAAGAATGTGAGATTGGGTGGTGTGTTATGTGATGTCTGCAATTCAGGTAGCGTGCGGAGCCCATGTTGAGTGCACATTTGATGTAGGTGTGTAAGATTATATGTCTTCAATTGTTTTTAATGGCATTGCCATAGACCAAGGCCTGGTGAAGCAAATTTTGTCCCTATGGCTGTCCCACATATTTATCATTAGCTTGGTGGTGGGTAAAATACCTGAGGATATATTCCTCAGTCGTCTTGGTGCCCATATTGTTGCTGACAGGTCTGTCCCACTACACTGTTTTTCTATCTCTATCTCTGTATGTGGTAGAGTGTATGGTGAGGATGTTTTCAAGATGTGTTGCCTGGCAGTACACCTTCAGATTGGGGAATTTGAGACCTCCTTTGTTGGTCAGTCTCATAAGTAAAGTGCGTGGGACTCTAGGGCAGTGATGGCAAACATTTGTGAGCCCGAGTGCCCAAACCGCAATACAAACCAACTTTTTTTCCTCAAAGTGCCAACACGGCAATTAAACATGGAAATTATACACACTGAAACTCACTGATACTCAGACAATCACAGATACACATACACTAACATTTATACACTGACACTCACAGACACACACTCACTGACAGACAGACACACAGTGACTGACAGAAACACACACACTCACAGACACACACACTCACTGACAGACACAGAGTGACTGACAGATAAACACGCACTCACAGACAAACACATTGACAGACATACACACACATTAACTGACAGACACACACTCATACACATTTCCCCCATCACTTACAAATTACTACTATTGGGAGAACTGGATTGGATTCCTCACCTGGGGTCCAGTGAGGCTGCAGGGGCTGCTTGCGCTGCTGAACAGTCATGCAGGGGGCAAACTGGCAGAGTAGGCATCAAGGGAGCTCTGATCTTTCTGCTCAGCTCCCTTGCACCTGCCGCTTAGTGATGCCGGGAGCCGGTCTGACGTCATATTCCAGCTCCTAGCATGTCAGAGCAGTACATGAGGGAGCTGAGCAGTAAGAGCTCAGATTACAGTACTCCCTCGCCGCCCGACCAAAAATGAAGCTGCTGCCTGCCTCGGGGCTGCCCAAAGGTGGCCAGCCGGCCAGCTCCTGGGCCCCCAGGACATGAGGCTAACAAGGCATCTGCTGTGGTGTTTGGGGGGTTGCTTTTTTTCCGCCCAAGGCAAATGCCTTGTTAGCCTTGCAGTGAATACACCACTGGGCACCCTACCGGCGACCTATGGCTGCATGCCCACAGAGAGGGCTCAGCGTGCCAGCGTGCCATAGGTTCACCATCTCTGCTCTAAGGTGTCTTCATCACCAGCTAAATTTGATCAAGATAGCTTGTAGCTTTTGCAAATACAAGTGAGGTAGGTGTATTTGTAACGAGTGGAACATGTAGAGAATTTTCGTCAAAATTGTCATTTTGATGGCCTCTAGTCAGCCTAGCCACAATAGAATTTTTTTCTGCCATGAATGTATCATGTTTTACACTTCTTTTAGAAGTTTGGCATAATTGGTGGCAAAATGGTCTGTTACTGTTTTCGTCAGTTTTATCCCTAGGAACGTCAGGAAGTCATCCCTCCAGTCATAGTTGAATTTAAGCTTATATCGATCTTCCTCTGTCTTAGGGATATTAATGCACATGGCTTGGGTTTTAGACATATTTAACTGATAGTATGATTGTCTACTGTATTCTTGTATTTCTTTGTGGAGGTTCGGAAGTGAGATCGTCGAGTTGGATAATGTGAGGAGAATGTCATTTGTCAATAGGTTTAGTTTGTATTCTTTGTCGCCTATGATGATCCCCTTGATGTCCTGGTTGATACGGATAGCTATTGCCAGCGGTTACAGCGCTAGCACATAAAGCAATGGGGAAAAAGGACAGCCCTGACGTGTTCCGTTTGTGATTGTGAATGCAGTGGAACTGAAGCCGTTGCTAAAGGGGAACTGTAAAGGGCCGTGACTATGTTCAAGAAGATAGATAGGAAGCCGTACTGTGTCAACATTACGTGTAAAAAGCGCCAATTGAGTCTTTCGAATGCTTTTTCAGCATCGAGTGAGAGCAGTGTGCTCTTTTGTTTGGATCAGTTGAGGTAATGGAGGATATCTAACACTATTCGCGAATTATCTGGGCCTTGTCTGCCGGATACGAACCCAACCTAATCTGTAGTGACCAGGCTGGGTGTAATCATTTTAGCCTTTCTGCGTATAATTTGGCGTCTGTGTTTAACAGGGAAATTGGTCTAAATTTGGGCATAGTGTTGGTGATTTCCCGGGCTTGGGAGGGTTATGATGTGGGCTGCTAGAAATTCTGATGGTAGTGACCCCATCTGAGTAGCTAGATTAAAGGCTTGTGTTACATATGGGCTCAGCATGGATTTAAAAGTAACGTAGTATAAGTTCGTGAGGCCGTCTTGATCTGCGGCCTTCCCCTTGGGCATGGCTTCTATAAGATGTGTTATGTCATGGGTTGAGATTGGACCAGTGAGGTGTATGATTTGGTGTTTTTGAATCTTAGGTAAGTTAAGTTTATTCAGGTAACGTTATAGTTTATTTTAACATAATATCTGCTGGTTTTCCATTTAATGCTGATGAACTTTTTAAATGGTTTCAGCCACGTACTTTCCTAGAAGACAGTAACTGAAGTAGAGTTCTGTAGAGTTTTGTATGGTTTCAATTAACATTTGCTATATGTAGAGCAAAACCACATCTGTTTCCACATCTTAGCTGGAACCAGGGAAACCTTTAGCGCTTCTGTCCCAGTCGCTCTCAGTCCTGGAACAGAATAGGGGACTAGCTCTATTCCCTCCCAGGGACAGGACAACACACAGTCCTGGGAGCTGTAGTCCTTCCCCTGCTGAATCATCCACGAAATGGAACAAGGTGCTGAGCAGTGATTAGCCCTTTTCCTCTCCCAGTAACTGGGAGTGCAACTGATTTTAATGAGCCAAAACTTGGCCTTTTATGCACAGATCTCAGCATAGGGTCTCCATGGTATTCAACACAAGCCCTTCCTAGGAATGTCTAGGCCTGGGAGATAATTAAGTTAAAGATCGGTAAGCTAATTATCTCGCAGGAACAAAAAAATAAAAGTACACCGAATAATAAATCATACAATGATCCCACATATTATACCTCCCCAAATAGCCCTGATCTGAGCGCCTAAGTTGTCCAAATAGTGCTCAGATTCATGCAGTGTAGGGAAAACGCCACCGTGTCAAAGTTCTGACCGGCCGCACATGTGGTCCTATGCCCAAAATAGTTTCAGGGCGTTTGGTGTTTTTGCCAGTAAACTTTCGGGGGCTCCTGCTTCCGAAATACAGAATGCTCCACCTGGTTCTCAGGTAGCATTTGTTCTCCTTAGTCTCAGGCACCTTCCCTCCAAAAAGCGCTCTCCTGGCAGGTTGCAAAGTTTATCAAAACCCAGGACCAAATTGCCCGGGAACCACAAGCTCACCTCATGCTGAAAACAGTTCCAACTCATCAAGTACCGCTGAGTTGACCAGGGACCAACGAAGTCCTCATAATGAAATTAGTTCCATAGCGGTTGCAGCTAAGTACCACTGATGACAATTTGTGGGTTTGGTTCATGCGAACAGCCGCCAGAGAACTAGCGTTCGGTTCCATTCAAATGAAAGGAAGGTGCCGAACCAGGGGCACCCAGGGAAAGCTGCTAATGGCAGCTGGGCAGGGTAACTTCCAAATGGTGTCTCAGACCTGGACCATAGTCGATGGGCAGTAGGCCAGCTTCTACACTCCTCCAGGAGTTCATGGCAAATGTACGTGGGAAGGAGCGTTTGTCACAATATCATTATAATAAATATGAGCTTTTTTGGAGGGAGGGAGGCAATTACCTCACACTAGAGTGGTGAGGGGTAGCTAGTTTTTGACACACAGGTAGCACTATGAAGTGATTTAAGGATACAGTGGTTTCTGAAGACATTGAATTGTAGTAAAATAAAAAAATAAATTGACACATTTAGGCTAAATTAGTTAAGTTGTGATTATAACTGAACTCGATAATGCTTCTAAACCAGAATTGTTTGTCTATTTTTATCAATCGGTTTAATTTCTTTACAATTCAATATTTAGGGATTAAATTCCTTTTATTTCATTTATGCCGCTTGAATGGCGTTTTGAGTGTAACAGGATCAACTAATTTTGTGCTGGTGTCGCAGTTACAAATAATCTTGAATTTCTGTTAAGATTACACAAGGTTAAGTAATTTGTGAAGTATGCAAAGTGTTATCACAAGCTACAAAATTGAGGTCTACTCACCATTTTTTCTGATATTTATTAAATCGAGATGTTATAGTTTTGAAACCTATTGATGGGTATGTAAGCCACCATCCTACAGCAAAACAATAGAGCAGTGAAGTGGATGAGCCATTGATGGATCTCCATGAATTTACAGAAATTCCAGGGCATCCAAATGATTTTTTTCCCCTGAATCTCACGAGAGGAGAGAAGTCAATAGCCATGAATGCAGCACCCTCCGTGAAAAACAAGAGCTGCAGGGACCAAACTTAATTTTGCTTTATTATATTTAATATAATTTGCTTTTAGCTCATATAGCCAGTAGGACTTTTTAATGTTATCACCTTATGTTCATTTCATCTCAGGAATTTCTTAGGAATTATCTCAGGAGCTACTCAGCACAAATCTGCTTTAATCATTTTTTTAAAGATATTTCTAAATGATTTCTCTTAAATAAATAACAAAAATATTATATAACATGCCAAATGGGTCACTGAGCTATATTATATTACATGCCAAATGGGTCACTGAGCTATATTATATTACATGCCGAATGGGTCACTGAGCTATTTTATATTACATGTCGAATGGGTCACTGAGCTAATTTTACAATTGAAAAGTGAGTTACCAAGTTAATGTATATAAGCATATAGATATGTATATAATCTGAATATGAGCCTGGGTGTCTGTTAAATGTGTTTACAAAACCACTGCTTCTAACCTTTTCAGAAGAAGGATCATTGTATGCCTGAAAAAATATATAAATGACCCTCGGGATTCATACCATAAGTTGTAGAACAAGGCAAAGATTTAAAAATCACATTTTATAAAACTAAAAATTGAACTTTCTTTGATTTCCAAATAAGTGAGATATATATATTTTACAAGACATGGTATTTTGTACTATTCTAACAAATAAAAAAGGGAGAATGTCAGCCCAGGGGACACATTCGACCACCAGGTTATTCAATAAAGTGTCAGTTGTCAGGTATTGAAATTTTTTTGCACATTTTAGGCAAAAAAAAAGAGGTAATGGGAAAATGTGAAAAATTTTAAATATACACAATAGTGAATAATAATTCTAAAAACACAACACTCATAGATATTGATTTAAAGTTCAGATAGCCAATGATTAAAAACTTAAAGTGTCTAGTTAGTGAAACTAGCTTACATGATTTCCGACACTGGTTATATATCCAGTATTACCTTTTGGAATGTAACCAAAGGGACATTTACTCTCTTCTTCAAATACAACGGCCGAAACGTTTATTTATTTGAAACTGCTTGTTTTTGTGAATAGATTTTGCCCAAACTACCTATTCCTCCTCTTCAACAAACCATGGACATGTATCTAAAGTGCATGAAACATCTAGTGTCAGAAGAACAGTATAAGAAAACCAAACAAATAGTGGAGAGGTTTGCATTGCCTGGAGGTGTGGGTGAAATGTTACAGCAAAAACTATTGGAGAAGAGAGACAATACAGAAAACTGGGTAAGACATGAACCAACCGAAGTTGTCTAATTACACGAATTGCTATAACTCGTCTATTTGTTGCAAATGTCAGCTAACTATCCATGCATTCATTTGTTGTGCGATAACCACTAATGGCTTAAACTGATCAATCTCCAAATTGTTTATCTACAGAAGGACTAACTAAATTCGATGGAAATTAATGTAACTAAATCATTTGGAAAGTGGATAGATTTTCTAACAGTATGGAATCATTTGGAAAGCTTATTAAATTAAGACCCACATTACAAAATATAGGACAATATGCATAAAATATATGGAAAATGAATTGAGTTAGAAGGATACTATAGGCACTCAGACCACTTCAGCTCATTGAAGAGGTCTGGATACAGCATCCCTATTGCACTTAGAGAAACTGCAATTTTTACATTGCAGCACTAAGTTTCCTCCATCTGCTGTCTACTAGGCACTACTTGGATGTTAACGGACCTTTGGTCCGGTAACTGATGCTGGAAGTCCTCACGCTCTCCATGAGGCCATGCAGCATCTGCTATTTTCCCATAGGAAACCATTTATTCAATGCTTTTCTATGGGGAGGCCTAGTGCTTTTAATCCTTCAAGGGACACTGGAAGTAGTTAATAATAAAGTTTTTTTTAACCCTTTTATTTACTGCACCAGGGGGGCGGAGGGGCAGGGTGCAAGGCAGGGGGAAGGCAGAGGGAGCTATAGTGCCAAGAATATAGCTTTGTATTCCTGGTATTATAATCTCCCTTGAAGTGGAAGAACTGTTTTCCAACTGTGCAATATAATTTGAATGTTGTAACTAAATTGTCATTTAACCACAATGTCCTCTTAAAGTACCACTATAAGCACCCAGACCACTTCAGCTTAATGAAGTGGTCTGGGTGCCAGGTCCAGCTAGGGTTAACCCTTTTTTTTATAAACATAGCAGTTTCAGAGAAACTGCTATGTTTATGTTACGGTTAATCCAGCCCCTAGTGGCTGTCTCATTGACAGCCGCTAGAGGGCTTCCACGTTTCTCACTGTGAAAATCACAGTGAGAAGACGCCAGTGTCCATAGGAAAGCATTGAGAATGCTTTCCTATGGACTGGCTGGATGTGCGCGCAGCTCCTGCCGCGCATGCGCATTCAGCCGAAGATGAGGAGAAGAGGGAGGAGAGGAGGAGTAGAGCTCCCCGCCCGGCGCTGGAGAAAGGTAAGTGTTTAACCCCTTCCTCTCCATCCAGCCCGGCGGGAGGGGGACCCTGAGGGTGGGGGCACCCTCAGGGCACTATAGTGCCAGGAAAGCGAGTATGAAAAAACTGTTGAAAAATAAATCAACAAGCTAATGCCACGTTTGTCGTTTGGGTCCCTGTCTAAGAAGGTATTTAAATAGTCCTCTCTGTAAGCAGGGTGCAGGTTAACATTTTGGAGATTATAATACCTATTTATTTCTATTATAGATTGATCGTAATAATAACAAACTGTTACTGTAGTGCTTCAAAGCAATCTGTGCACACTCTCAGGCATAACAGAACTGGCAAATGATAAATGTGACTATGAATCAACTCAATATTACTATTTTTATCAGTAAAAAGATGAGCTGTGCTTGTGTGTTCACACTCTGAGACACTCTGAGACACTCTGACTCTGCAAACCAGAGGTCTGAGTAAGTTCTCTATTATGTGTGCTTACTAAGTGAGCTTTCTTACCTGTCTTGTCAAATTGTTGAATAATGTAACATTTTATGGTTTTATTAACTCCTTTAGGTCCCATGACATTGCAAGACGAACATAATAAAAAGTGATTTGCTGGACACTGGTGCTTAATGTATATGCAGTGGTCAGGGGAACTGTCACTGCTCTCGAATTTATATAATTAAATAAAATGGTTGAAAATTAATTTTGTTTTACTTGTATATTAAAGATTTAGCCAAGATATCTACCAGTTCAGAAAAAGCAAAGCTAGGGGAGAAATAGTAACATGTCTTCAGTTCTCCTCTTCCCTGTATGCTCTTTATGTTAACTGCCAGATGCAAAGAAGAGAGCTTAGAAAAATTAATTGCAAAAATCTAGGATGGAGGCACCCAGTAGCAGGTTAAAGCTAGAATTTGCAAAGATCTCCAACAGTGACATCGTTGCTGGGATCCAATGTCCGGGGAGGGTGAGTTCTACTTACCCGTCCCTCACAGGAGCTGTCATCTTAACTTCCAGGTGGAGGAAAAATACATCCGACAAATTAGTTCCTACTTTATTTTATATTTTTTGTTACAATAAAGAATAAGTTGATCTAATATACAATTCTATTTGAAACAGAGAGAAGAGGGGGTAACCCATAGTTGCAAACTGAAAAAAAACAGTTGAGTACATTCTAATAAGGTAGAAGGGAGCATAACTTTTATTAAAGATAAAAAAAAAAATATTTCGATCACCATAAAAAGTATAAAATAAATTGGCCAGCTTCTACAATTGTCAAAAAATTCTCACAGCTAAGGAGGTGGTATTGTTGGATATATAATGCTAAATATCAAGTGTCCTTGCTAATTGCTACACTATCAGCTACTTAGATTGGTATCTTTACTTAAGAAAGGTTAACCCCTTAAGGACACAACTTCTGGAATATTTCCGTCATGTGTCCTTAAAGGGTTAAAGTCAAAAGTAACCATTTAGCAACAGACAGAACAGTAGTTACTCACCAGTACATGAATGAGTGAATAACATTTACCACTTAAATTTAGAGTAAAAAAATAAAAAAATAAAAAATATTTATGTTGCAATATTACCAAAATTAAATCCCTAAATTAAATACAAAATTAGGTAGCACAGCATTCCACTATATTATAAGCAGCATAATGCTGAAAGTGAGTAATATATTGCCCAATCAACACTCTGACTTACCCTAATTCGCCTTCAATGACACCTTTCATCTAAATTCAATCAAAGCTATGATATCTGAAAGTCCCTATCATCCTGAAGCTGTAAGTATAAAAGTCTATGAATTAATGTAAATCAGAAGGAAAACACACGCAAAAAACTCTCGATGATTCCCTAATATCTAATAGAATATCGGCATTTGAAATTAAAGCTTGTCTTAGAATTTTCTTGTAGAGTAAGGGAATACCCCATGAGGTCTTCTTCTTTGTTAGAATATACTATATATAAAATTTAAAAAAACGAAAAAAATTTAAATGAAAGAGGAAAAAAAGAGGAAGTGGTTGGGAGAAGGTAGTACGGCATGACAGTGCCACTTTAATTTTACTTTTTAAATCACACACATACATATTTGTTTAATATAGGGAGTTTTTAGTAACCTCATGTAAAAATGCCTGGGAAGTAACAATGACCCTTTAAGGTAATCTGTCTAACAACAATGATATGGTTAAGAAATAACTCATTATCATTAAAAACACTGTAAAAAGCAATAAGGCATAATTCATTGCTCTTAAGAAAGGCACTTAACACAATCCATGAGTCATTGCACACCAGACTACCTTGCAGACAGGTAATTTTGTATTACCTATGTTAGAGGTTAATAAAACCAATATCCAGAGAGAAACTTTTTAACATGTTTTTCTGAACAAGCTTGAACTCTTCTTCAATGTAAATAGGACCATATCTATACAAAACTTAATGAAACCGAGCTCAGCAAATTTGAGTGGATCTGTATAACACTGGAGAAAATTCCATTCATTTCAGTCCCTTCATCGTTTTCTCCAAAGATTAATTTTTGGATCGATCTGTAATCAGTTCCATCTCAAGATTGTCTTGAGATAAATTTGAACATTCATAGTTCCAACAAATGATTACTGAGTCTTATGTTTTCTATATTTTATATAGCTAATGCATGCACTCTTTCTTCCCTTTTTTCTTACACCAATTGTCTGTCTCTGGGAAAGACACTTTGCTTTGAAGAACTTAACACATATGTTTCTTTGTGTATTTCCTCTGTTCCCACTCTCAGATACATCAATACTGGCTTGATGACATGTACCTCAATAACCGTCTTCCATTACCAGTTAATTCCAGCCCAGCAGTAATATTTGCTCGTCACAACTTCAAGGACACCAATGACCATTTAAGGTAATTTTGAGAAACCTTCCATTTCACTGTGATTCATATGAATACTATTCCGTTTGGCAATCATAGAATTCCAGGAATTTCAAATCATTTTTCTTGTTAAGTACACAGGAAAACTTTGCTAAATCCATAGGTATCTTTCTTCAACCGCCTTTTTTTGCACAAATAAAACAGGGCCATTATAGAACTTTAGGACCACAGGACTCAAAATTGGTTAATAGGTTGTGGTGAAAATGCACCAATAGAAGATATATAGTAAGGACTGGAGGAGGAATGGTTAAGATTGGGGAAATGTTGCCATGAAGAGGCAGCAATAAAAGATTTACGGTTAGGATTGGAGGGGGAAGTTAATAGTGGTGAAAGTATTGCTGTGTGGGTACCAGTAATGGATTTTTGGAGACACTTGAAGGAATCCTCAACTATTTTTCACTAGTGCATTTTATAAGATTTATTTATTTTAGTTTTTTATTTCGTAGTCAGGCAATACAGTGAGAGGCAGATACAATATACATCGGCAATAACAGTAGATACATTTTATACATTTTCAATATCCCCTTATAGTTAGCATTTGGTATATAGTAGTGTCTTGCCCACCTCTATTGTCGCAGCGTTAGCATCAGTGATATTCCTGGTACTTCAATGTTTTAAATAATAATAACAGGTAACTATGTACATGGTATTCAAAATCCATAAAAGGAAAAAAAAACTACAAGAACATAGTATCAGTGTAAGAAATGAGTATAGGTCACTATTCAAGGAAGGCATTCGGGTCGATGACCGTTAAGGTTGCCTTGCACCTATTTACTCGGCCACTGAAGGGATTACTGTGGAGTCTCAGGGTGTAGGTCTGGTGTCTAAAGATGGGGTAGAGGCATCTACCATTGACCCCATTACAACTTCAGGGGAGGAGGTCCCCGTCTGGGTGGGGTTAATTCCATTCCCGGTGCAATTCCTATTATCTGCGTGCTGTACCCATTTGCCTCCATCGTGGGAATAGGAGGAGTAAACAGTGAGTTCCTCCATTCCGTAATCATAGGGACCTGGGGGGATCGCCAATGAAATGGGACCAGGAACTTCGCCACCAGCAAAAGTAGTGGGAGGCATGATTTTTTCAGTTTGGACAATGAGAGAGTTGTATGAAGCAGTAAGATTTCTGCTGAGGTTGGGTTTAAAGGTCAGTGATGCTGCTGATCAGGGGTATAACTTTATCCCAGAACTTCCGTATTAGAGGACAGGACCACCAAATATGCACAAACGTTCCCCCATCTATCCCACATCTCCAGCAGCTGTCTCGGAGGGTAGAGTACCACCTGTGTAACTTGTCTGGGGTGTGATACCATCTCTCACAAGCTTCAGCTCGACCTCCAATAGCCCAGAACTCATCACCAGAGAGTAATAGCTTGAACATTTTTTTGGAACTGGTGAGTGGTAAGGGAGATACCAAGTTCCATTTCCAATGCCTTGGTTATTTATCTGTGTCTGTAATGTTCTGTATGACTCCGAAAGGAGATGTCTGGGACAAAGGCATGTGATGGCGGTCCGCTTTCGAGGTCAGTTTGACACCTAAGTACGTAAGGGAGGTCTTGTTTTCCCTGAACGGGTAGTGCATCTTAATTTCTCTGGCTGTCCGTGGCCAAGTATTCGGATTTGTCATAGTTGATGGAGAAGCGAGGGAGGGTGCTGTAGCACTGCATCTCCTGTATCAGCGCCGGTAGTGACTGCAGGGGATTGGTGACGGTAAATAATAAGTCATTGGCATAGGCTGAGATTTTTTAGTACTCGGCTGCCGCTGTAAAGTCTGCTATGAGTGTATTAGCTCTGACAGTATTTAGTAAAAGCTCCAGAGTCAGTGCAAAAAGAAGGGGGGACAAGGGGCACCCCTGGTGCGTTCCGTTCCTTATTTGCACTGAGTCCGAAAACAAACCATTAACTCTAATCTGCGCTGTTGGACGGGAGTACAACGCCTCAATCCAAACCCTCCAGCGTGGGCCAAATCCCAAACTCTGCAGGATCCCCCCCAGGAAGAGCTAGTCCACCCGATCAAATGCTTTCTCAGCATCAGTTGACAAAAAGAGGGATGGTGTTTTCTGCATTGCAGCCCTATGTATGAGGTTGACCACTCTTATGGTGTTCTCTTTGGTTTCCCTCATGGGGACAAATCCAACCTGATCTGGATGCACCAGCCCACCGCTGAGGGGTCTATATTTAGTAAAGATATGGAGTGGTAGCTCCCACAGAGCTCTAGGTCTTTACCCAGTTTGCCAATTAATTATATGTATGCTTCTAATGATTGGGCCATGCTCTCTTTGTTCTGTGCTGTTGCATTAAAAGCCATGATGAAAAATGGGGTCAATAGTGTCCCAGGTGGGTGTTCAAGTATCATTTCAGGGCATGGTCTTGTGGTCACATGGGATCATTCCACGTGGGAATATTATACAGGTGTGTATAGAATTTATAGAACTCTTTAGCAATGTCTTCTGACTTATGTGCTACACTACCCGAGTTGGTACGGATACGTGCTATGTAGGTGAGCTTTTGTCTCTGTTTAAGAGCCTTGGACAGGTACTTCCCACATTTATTTTAGATAATATGTGTGTTTCGTGAGTAGGGAGCATAGGGTCTTGGTGTCTAGAAGGTCATTCGGTTTTACCCTGACATTTGTCAACTCCGTGAGCTTGTCTGGGGAAAGGTATTGTTTGTGTAATTTTTCCAACAATTGCAATTTCAATAATAATGTGTTAATCTGCTTAGTTGCTGTTTCTTAAGGGTCGCCCTAAGTTTAATTAATTCCCCGCGTATGATACATTTATGGTCCGCCCATAGCGTCATTGGTAATACGTCAGTGGTGTCATTTTCGTAAAGTAAATGGCCAGGGCATCGCTGATTCAGGCTGTTGGCTCAGGAAGGTGAAGTAGGGTTTCGTTCAGTCTCCACAACCGATTAAATGGTTGTGGCGAGTCTATTTGTAGCGTCAGGGATATGTGGGCATGGTCCGACCAGAGAATTGGGCTTATGTTTGTGTCGCTCACCATATGTAAATGCCTGTGTGACAATAGAAGCAGGTCAGTTCAGGAGTAGAAGTGTTGTGCCTGCGAGTAAAAAGTGTAATCTCGTGTGGTCGGGTTTTGTATCCGCAAGCAATCTACCAATTGGTGATTGTGTAACAGCGCTCTAATCGCTCTAATCTTGCGTCTGTGTCTAGAGTCCCTGGTTATATTTGTGTTGGTGTTTTCCAGACGGGGATCTAAGGTAATATTAAAGTCACCACCCACAATCATCAATCCTTCCGTAAAGTCTGTAAGTTTGACTAGTATTTAAGCTGTTTAAAGTTTGGTAAGTAAATATTTCCAAAAGTATGCATCTGTCCTGCTAAATGACCCTTTACAAATTTGAATCTACCCCCCTGGTCCAAGAGGTGTGCCGTTGGGGTGAATGCTAAGTTCCCTGAGAATAAGATTGCAGTTCCCCTAGATTTGATCTCCACATGGTTGTTAAAGAAAACAAGCGGAAATCTGTGATCTTTCAGTGTTGGGGCTGTGGGGCCTTTAACCCCTTAAGGACACATGTCATGATTCCCTTTTATTACAGAGGTTAAAATGGGTCTACTGAATAATTACTACTGAGAATGGAATTCATGAAGTGCAAATGCCCTCTTCTCAGGTACATTCAACCCTTTGACGTTAATAGATATGACCCTTAGCTGTGCCATGTTCCGAGATGTGTGGGTGGGACTATTGTGTCGCTATGCCATCAATGTGTCCTATACAATGCAAAGGTGAGAATCACTAAAATAACAATATGTCTAACTAAAACTATGCACAACAAAAGAGTAGGTTTCGAGCGATGATGTTTACTTTAAAAGCGTGATGGTAGCAAGAAAGATCATCTGCTCTAACAGTACAATAAACTGTTTGAGGGTAGCGAATTATACTGTGAAGGTGGTCGCCGGGCTCCGGTCCTACGCTTCATGCCCCACAAGCCCAAAGCATTGTCGTGGGAGACAAAGCGGGGAGGGACCCAGAATTTCCGCCCGAGTGAGTGCCATATCTCCTGAGATATATAAGTCAAGTACACATACACATTTGCAACAGTTATGAACATTACCCATCACGGCTACGACCTCGATGTTCCACAGCTCCCCCAGAGTTCTGGAGGGACCCCAGCCCAGCGTGGCACCGGGCACTTTCCCATTTCCCCCCCGTGTAAACCCACGGCAGAAAGATGCTGTCCATTCCCCTAACCCTGGTACCAACCCCGGTGACCCAGAGAGGACCCCATTATGATGGATTCTCTGGTGCAGCGAGGCGGCCCAGGGCCCAATTTCCTCTTTCTCTACTTGCAACACATGGTATCCCGAGCTGCTCAGCATCGGTCAAGTCATCCGTTCAGCACCATGGTAGCGGTAGTTCATGTTGAGATATGTGAATGAGTATGAAAACTGGGGATGGGGCTCTTGCATGTGTATCCTTTTACAGCAGCGCAGGGCCTGTGGCATCAGTCCCCTTAAAGCGGATTTGTTCTCAAGTGTTCATTCTCCCATGCGGGTCGGCACCCGGATGGGCTGTCATGGCCCTGGGCAATGTCCCATTCATTCATAGCAGGGGGCAAGGTCCATGCTCACTCCAAATGTTTAGGTATGACCCAACAGAGGTCATTCCAGCTAACAATCCATGTCTGGATAAAGAAGGGAACAGTCTCGTACTTGAGTCCAAGCATAAACCATAAAGTTCCTACTGGTCAAAGAAGGTAGAAGAGCCCAGCTGTGTGTCCGCAATGGTCAGGCCTGGGCGTTTTGAGTCCCTTGTCAGAAACTTTGTGTTGGGGTTTCACCATACTTTAGGCCGGACCTGCATTGGTAGTGCTTTGTGTTTCTCAGTTCAGTCGTCACCTCAATGGGGTAGTGTCCCATTTGTCTCATTGACGGCGGGGTGGCACCGGTCTAGGAGCAATAGTGCCATGCCACGGCGGAATATCCGGGATGTGTAAATCCAGTTTCTGGGCTACTGGAGAGATCTACTCGGGGCCCGTTATAGTGTAAGAGAGGCCATAATGTGAAATGGCCAGGCTGAGGGGGAATCCCCAAAGGTATTTTATGCCTTTGGCAGTCAGGGCCTCCGTAAGAGGTTTGAGAACCCTACGCGTCTATATAGGCGACCAGGTCAGGTCCTGGTATATGGTGATAGTATGCTGATGGAATTTAATGGGTGCAGAGGTACGCACCTTTCACAGTAAATACTCCTTAAAGACGAAGTAGTGCAGCCTGCATAAAATATCTCTTGGTGCGTCTGAAGAAAAGGACCTAGGCCTCAGTGCGCAGTGGGCACATTTGTCTCCTCTTGTCATCCCAATATGTTATTAAAGAGTGCAGTCAGTGTTTTTATGATATTTTCAAGGGCATCAGACTCAGGCACATCCCTGACGCGCAAGTTATTCCTGCGGCCCCTTTTGTCAATGTCCTCGACGTACCTGTGTAGGTGGCAGACCTGTTCTTGCTGTTGCATGACCTGTTGTCGCAATTGGAGTACTTCACTCAGTGAGATCTCCCTTTCGTCCTCCAAAACAGTGACCCTGTTTTTTCCAGGTCACCGCGAATGGTCGTGATGTCGTTATGGAGCAAAGTCGTGATATCTGCTTTGGTGGGTAAGCACTGCAGCAGGGCTTTTATGTCTGGTGTCTCTTCCTGTCCTGTGTCTTTGCTCATGTGTGCTGGCATGTTGCCTTCCTCCATATTCTGGCAGTCACTCAGCGCCATTTTGACCTTCTGAGCGGGTCCTGGGTGCTGGACAGAAAGCATTTCATTTTGGCAGTTTCACGGCTCTCTGCGTCCTGTAATTTGGCACCTTTTGTTGAGGGGGTCTTAGGCATACCTTTAGGAGGAATATCCTACGATGTGCCCCGTTGATAATATTAGTTTAGCGCCTCGTGTTGCTGGAGCTCGGAGCTATTTGCATTTCATGTTAATACAGTAGCATGTTTACATTTTTATGTATATTGCCCTAGCTCCCTCTCCTTTGCAGAGCTATATTTTATTCTGTTATGTGGTTGCCTGTGTGATTCTCCATATGATAATGTCTAATACATACTCAGTGTGTCACTCTAATGTAATATTGATAGGGGCTAGTTCCACTAAGAACTGTGTCATTGGCCATGATCTTTTAGAGATTCCAATAGCAGAGTTTACAGACTTGGTTTCTGGTTGCACTCTTCCCTGGTATTGGGGACTTGTAGGTAAATCTAGCCTGAGAGCCAAAATGTGACTTTGTACAGATGTAGGCAAAAGCTAGGCCTTTGTGCTGCAAGTTGCAAAGGCAGTATTTGGAGGCAGCACATGCAGGATGGTCGATAACTGCCTGGAAGGAGGAGGGCATGCAGACAAGTTAATACATGCCTAGAAAGCCCCGGTAGGAGAAAGGAAGCACCATGTAGCAGGACAGGTCTGGATCCCAAGTCTCAGGTCCCCTGCCCCTGCGCCTTTTGTGGCGACCTCGCTTACCTCATCACAACGAGCGGCATCATCTGGTCCCTGTCTCCAGACTGGCAATGTGTCTGACGCTGCACGCTCCACATCAGCTTCCTTTTATGGGTCGTGTGACCCGGCACACAGTGATGACCTCAGAGACCATAATGGAGGGAAGAGACTCCTCCCACGTGTTGTGGTTAACACTAATTGGAGATTAGCCAATCAGACACACCCTGTGTGTATATAAGCTAACCTCTCCCTTGCCTTAGTGCCCTGATGTGGTGTTTAGTTTACCATTGAGTGTTGCACTTGTTTGGATTTCCTGGCTTATTTATATTTGGTTTTGCCTCTCGTTATTCCGTCTCTCTGTTTCCCTTGACCTTGGTTTTGACTATCCCTTTTTGCATAACCCGACCATTCTAAGGATCGGTATTGCAATTCTCTTTACTCTGTCCTGTCTGCGTGTTAGGGTTCCCTAGTAAACATTACACCAAGTCTGGAACCAGTCACCCCTTTTCCAGTTACAAATGAGCCATACATAAACAAACTGACAGACTTAGTAGAAATAGGAATGAAACTGATATATCTGCTCTAGAGATATCAGAAAACAATGTCAGAATGGAGACAACCCGAGGACACAGGATGTCCAACCCTTGCAAAATACTTATACAGAAGAATTTAGTTAATTTCACTGTATGCTTGAGCCAAATTATGGTAATGAAAAATATTCAGGAAAGCTATTTGGACAGTCATAAAAGCAGGAAACATGCTGCCAATGACTGAGCTGACATGCAAAAATGGCTACAATATGGCCTAAAGGCTATGCAACATCAGCCATTTTTGCAATGGCACTTCTGAGTTGCCAAATTAGATTATTATATATCTGGATTTAAAAAAAAAGGAAGTGGGAGTTTTATAATGATTGATTGTGATCTTGTTTTTCCATTTGGTATCTTGTATTGAAAGGACACTCCACTGCCCAAATATAAAATAAATAAAAATCACTGTTTAGTGAAAACTTGCATGCATTTAATTATGTTTTTTTTATGAGGGGTATATCTAAAAAAAGCTTGCAAAACGTGAAGTTCCCTTGTGTGCAGCCTTTGCAAACCCTCCCCTTCTATCCCCGCCCAGACTTTCTGTGGCTGTCCAATCATAGACAGCTCAATGAAAGGCAGGTATGGTGAGTGTTGTGGTTTAAATTCAGCAGATAGCAATGTTTTCTCTCAGGTATGAAGACAAGGAATGGACACAGCAGAAATACGAGCTCGGAGGGCAGTACTCGTTCACACAAGTGTATGGCAGAATACTACACCTAATTTAATGGGGAGAACACAGATCTTATAACAAAATTCTGTACACATCCAAAAGGGGTTGTCTTCACATAATACAGTCATGTCCTGTCAATTGCATATTCAAAGAACTTAAATCACATTTGGCATTAGCTGGTCAAAAGGTGTTACTTGATTAAACAAACACTTCCCAACAAGGTGTTATCAGGATATGCAGTGCAGGGGGGGAAACAAGAAGAAGATACAAATCAGGATCAAAGGCCAGCTGTTATAATAGAGCATCCTGACATTACTCAATCAACTGTGTAGTGTGACACAGGAAAGGTGCTCATTAATCCATATCAGTGAGCAATTGCTGACTCTTGAGTTTAGCTGCAATGAGCTAACCAAACGAGGAAGTAACATTGTCTATTATCTGCTTCAAAGCCAATGAGGTATATCCATTTTAATTGATAAAAGTTTCAATTTCTATTCAAAATCTACACTTTTTGCGAAATGAAAAAAAGACGACAAACTCTTCACACATAAAACATTTCAGCAACCTATAGTGCTTTAGGGGTCTGGAGTGTCCCATTAATAATAAAACAGTTCAAATGAATGCATGAAAATATTTCATGAAATCAGATCTCCGAGGGAAGGATTTTATGTCACCCGAACAGTTAAAAAGAAATACTTTTACAACTGTGTATTGGTAAACATAGTCTCACACCAGGATGAATGACAAAATGCCCGTAATGTGAAAATCTCCAATCTCCCTCTCACAGTTTTTTCTAGTGCTCCTGGGAATGCCAGCTGATAGATACAGCTTAAACCTAAAGCTTGTCTCAAGGTCGATTCAATAATGACCCAGACTATCTCCCACACTTTGTATCACTGCTGGTCTGCCTCCACCAATAGCTGAAGCCAAAGTGCCTAAAATAATTTGAAATTGTATAATTGCTCTTCCTCCCCACCCCCCCCTCTATTGGCCAGTTGTTACTTAATCTGTGAATAAAGTTAATATTTAGTGGCAGTCCGCTAATCATCAATCATATTTGTTTTGCTACCTCTTGATCGACCAGGATATCCAGACCGCATGATTGAGCAGTCCAAAACAAATCTTCACGTATACTTACTATTTGATAGCCAGGGGACTCTAACCACCATAAACTGTGTAGTGGTTATGGTGCCTAGCTTGTCCCTTTACCCTGGTTAGTTATCATTAACATGCATAGTAACACAATTAGTGGATATCACACTAAACACACAAAAAGGAAGAGTGTATTATTAGCATTTTTAAATGTATTTTTATATTCCTGCAATGGAAAAAATCTAATTTACTAAGTTGGGATTTTCCTTCATCAGTTCATGATAATATACTTTGGGTTAAGACTGTAAAACTAAAGGCATTGGAAACAGTGATCATCACCAATGAGCATCACCTAACTGGTAAGCTGTCTGGGATTTATATTATTGTTGCCAAGAATGCCTAGAGTTGACTATCTGTATTAAAAAAGAAAAACCTCTATATGTTATCAAAAAGAAGTAGTAAAGCCATTTGAAGAACTAGCTGCCGAATTTGCCTTTAAATATACTACCCCAGCTACGTGTTCTCTGTTCTCAAATTGTGTGGGGAATCTCCTTTGCATTATTGTCATGCTGAACAGGAAGTTTACCTTCCATTTCACACAGTGTCCTATTCAGAAGAATGGTAATATGGGACTTCACCTGACAAAATGCAAATAATAGACTGTTTATTGTAAGAAAGTAATTACATCCAAAATTCCTTTTAAGTGTGATGGTGCTGGCTGACTAACTCTATAAACAGTGCATCTTTTTACATTTAATAAACACTGCAGGGACCATAACTACCTGTACTTCCACTGCTGATCTCGCTTCTGATATAATTTGTTGTTTTTAAATCTGATTTTGTTACTTTTGTACCTCACATAGTAGATGAGCTGAAGACCAACTGAGGGAAGATGGTCTAGTAGCACCAGAGACCCAATGGCTTCTCTGAATGATTGCCATTGAGGTGCTAAATGATAATGCTTATTTTAGTCTGCTTGGGTACAGGGTCAGATTTATAACACAAGCACCAGTAGGCACATAATTCTCAAGCCCTCCCTACCACCCAACAAAATTGTTGTATATACACACAGTGTCTAAGTGTATATTATGTGTGTGTGCATGTGTAGTAGTGTGTGCAAATGTCTGTGTGCACGTCTATGTGTGTATGTCTTTGTGTATTATGTCAATGACATGCATATAAACAGTCAAAATCCCTTGTCTGTAACACCACCTCAAGACACACATAAACACATGCAGAAATGTTCACTAACATGGAAAAAATCAAAAATTTGCATCACAATGACTACTACTATAAACAGCATGGTGACAGGAGCACAAACATTGCTGGTGTATCAGAACGTTCTATGCTACTCTAGGTTCTATAAACTATTCTCTGAGTGCAGAGTGATTTACTGCATGGTCTCTGTAACATCAAAATGGAACATCTTACAAAATGTCCTCTCTCTCTCTTTGCAGGTTCACTGCCAACTTAATTTCTGGAGTTCTTGATTACAAAACCCTGCTGGATCTGTAAGTTATTGGTCCTTAGACAATTTAATACGTGCTTGTAGCAAATAAATTATACCTATTATTAATGAGGTAGGAATTGCCAAATAATTTAGCTGTACTTTTTATCAAAGCTTTCTGTCACAATTACCTTGAATGTTCAACGTCTGAAATCTTCATACATTAAAATAGCAAGGTTTCTTTTTAGGGTATTTATATCTTCATAAAACACTCCATTGAACATTTGGCGATCCGCATTACCATCTTCCCACAATACAATGAGAATGAAAAACCCCCAGGCATATTTTTTCCCATGATGCTTGGCAGATACAAAATCATAGCAAAAAGAGGTGTATACCGCACCTAGTGATTTATATATACAAGATATACGTATATATACTCCCAAGTACTTCCAATGGATTAAACCTCGGAATAAGATCAGATAAAAAAATAAAAGTGCAATACAGTAAACTTATATCGTGAAGTGGTGAGTATAACTATACAGGATCCACTCACATTTATATGAGCTAGAACAGAGCTCAACTGTGATGCGCATGGACGGTACAATCCCCGTCTCAGAATATGTTGTTATAGTTGACACAGGTATTTCCAAAGTGCAGTATGCGTAGTATATGTAAAGAGAAATAACAGCCAATAGTGAAGTAAGTACTTATGGTGGAATAAATAATGAGTAGTATTGTACTTACAATTTGTAGAGCATTAAACCTGCTCTAGTGTGGACAGCTTGGGTGGTATAATCCCCACCAGGGATATGCAGGATCCAGGAAGCAGAAAAAGAATGAGTATAAAAAGTAACTGGTAAAAGTATACTTTAACATAAACAAACAAAGTAAAAAACCATAAAAGGTATGAAGGAGAGTCCCACTTAACGGGTTTCGCCTAATAAGGCTTCTTCAGAAGTGTGGTGTAGCCTTCCCTTGATTACGTTTAAATGTGCTTCTAAATTCGTAGATTGCTTCCTGGTGTGTCTCTTCCTGTTTCCTGATTCCAGTTGAAACGCACACGTCGTACCAGAAGTGACGTGATACACGTGTCATACCGGAAATGACTCGGCGTCATACAGTCATTCGTGCATTACTATTGCGCTGCTGTGGAACGCACGCATCGCTCAGAAACAGCGTGCGTCGCGTTCCAGGCGCATACATCAGATGTCCAAACATCTCCAACAAAGGAGTGGCATAAGAAGCAGGCGTGTGTCACATCTCCGTGCTTGTAATGATGGCTTGACGGCCATATTCGTAGTGGGCATAAAGGGGAATAAAATGAGTAGAATCACTGGGTATTAATGTAAACATTATGCAAAAAATTATAATTATATTGATCAAATATAACAGTAAAGATATTGGTAAAGGTAGATGAAATACTAAGGGTGACTATTGCTGGTGATATAAGAACATCACCAGCAAGCAAGGAATAATAGAATTCATTCATTTATAGAATTGTGACAGAATATAGGGGTGGGGATAGTATTATGAATATGACAGACATGATAATACTGAATAGATATAGTTCATACATATTAAAGTGCACTGAAGGTGAACTGTATCCAAGTATCCAAGCATATTTTCATTAGATATTGAGGTAGGATTGTTGTAAGAAGGTTTAGAGCAATGGATAATCAAAATGCTACAAACAAAAGATAAAATAGTTCATAGTAAAATTTTAATCAAAAATTTGGGTTATAAAAAATTAGGGTTAAAAAAAATTATATAAATCAAAGTCAACACTTAGCCCATTCGGATGTAGGGTATCTAGCTGATACACCCACTGCATTTCTGTTTGTCCAATCTTTTTGACAACATCTCCTCCTCTCCGGTGGTTTTTAACAGTTGCAATCCTAATAAATGTGAGGTGCTTCGGGTCGTTGCTATGCATACAGAAATGGGTTGGCACTGAGTGGTTTTTTAGACCTTTTTCTACATTCCTGCAGTGTTCTGCTATTCTTGTTTTTAATGGTCTAATTGTTCTACCTACGTATTGGAGGCCACACGGGCACTCCAATAAGTAAATTTCATTTTTGCTGTTGCACTTGATGACCTCTTTGATATTGTACGTTTTACCCATATTATTAGACCTAAAGTTAGTGATAGTTCTTTTTGTTGATTTTGTTTTCATGCATGCCAGGCAACAGTTGCATTTATAAAAACCTCTTTTATTCATAAAATTGTTGATTTTATTGGGGCTCGTTTTTGTAAAGTTTTTTGTTAAGTGCATCTTAAGATGTAGCGCACCTCTAAATATTACTTTTGGTTTGTCAGGGATTATATTTTTTAGGATGCCATCCTCCTTCAATAAGTGCCAGTGCTTTTTTATAATGTTTTTCAGTTGTTTGTTTTTATTGTTATAGTCTAGTACAATTGGTAAGGTGAAATCAGAATTTCTTTGATTCGCTTGGGTTTTAGCTTTGTGTATGAGTTGATTCCTATTTAGTATAGCTGTTTGATTGTTGACTCGATGTTTGCAGTTTTGTATCCTTTTTGTACAAAGCTCTGTTTTAGCGTATTGGCTTGTTTAATAAACATGGACGCATCCGAACAGTTTCTTCTAAGGCGCATTATTTGACTTTTTGGTATGCTGTCTAGCCATATTTTATTATGACAGCTGTTGGTACTTATATAATTGTTTACATTCAGATCTTTAAAATGCGTTTTGGTTTGTATTTTGTTGTCTTTAATATAAATATTTAAATCGAGGTAGGTGACCATGGTATTACTAAAATCCGCAGTTAAAACTTTACCTTCTTCATTTTTGTTTAAAAATGTAATACAATCCTGTGCTGAGCTAATAGACCCCTACCAGACAAATAGAAGGTTGTCTATATATCTAGAGTAGGATACCAGGCTTTCACCCAGTCATGCCCCCTCCAGACAAATCGGTCCTCCCATTCCGCCATATAGAGGTTGGCATAACTGGGTGCAAACCTGGTACCCATAGCTGTACCTGTGTTTTGCAGATAAAAACCGTCTTTAAACCAAAAATAATTATGTTTTAAAATTAGGTCTATGCCCTCAATTATAAAATCAGTTTGTTCTTGAAGAATGGAGTCATCTCGTTCTAAAATGGATCTTATTGCTTGACATCCCTTCTCGTGTTGTATGATCGTGTATAATCACTGTACGTCATAGGTAATAAGTGTATAATCACCTTTCCAGGTGATAGTTTCCAATTTCTTCAATAAATCTATTGTGTCTTTTAGATATGATCTTGTTTATTTGACGTACGGTTGTAACATTATGTCAATATATTCGGATAGATTTGAGAGGAGTGATTCTATACCCGACACGATGGATCATCCTGGAGGGTTATTCAAGTTCTTATGTATTTTTGGGAGGAAGTATATAACGGGGATCTTAGGAAATTGTATGTTCATGTAGTTATATTCTCTTACGCTTAAAATCCCCATGTCTCTTCCTTTTAAAAAAATACATTAAGTTGATATTTTATATCTGCTGTTGGGTCTTTATTTAATTTGGTATATGTCTTGCAATCATTTAACTGTCTGAAAGCTTCTAGTTGATATTTTTCTTTGGATTGGATAACAAGACCCCCACCTTTAACGGCGGGTTTAAATACTATTGAGGCATCATTGTACAGATCTTTAAGTATTTGCCTTTCTTTTTTATTCATATTTGGTCTGTCTCCCATTCTTTTAGTGTCTAAGACTTTTAAATCCTTACATACTTTCTTTTCAAATATGTCCAAGGCACTGGATTTAAAATAGGCAGGATAAAAAGTGGATTTGCTCTTAAGTTCACTACTTCTATATTCTTTTGTGTTTTCATTACCTATATTAGCACTTTCATTAGTATTGGTATTATTTTTGTTAATATAGAAACGTTTTAAGGTGGCATTCCTTACAAATTTGTTAACGTCTATATAGGCAAGGAAGGAATTATATAGTTTGGTGGGGGCGAATTTTAAGCCTCGTTTCAGGACATTGATCTCAGTTGTATTTAGAACTTTGTCAGATAGATTGGAAATACCAGTGGGTGTCTTATTTAGTTTCTGATCTAAAAGCTTTCTAACCTTCCTTTCTTGTTGTCTTCTGCCTGATCTCCTTCCTCTAATACTCTCTTGCGGCTTTTTATAGGTGTAATATTGAGACGATGGGTCTGTCTTTCTCTGTTGGACGGAATTTCTAAAAAAGAAGTTTAATCAAATTGCTCGCAGAAGGATAAGGCGTGGTATCTATTGTTTCTGATTGGATCTTGTGGTGATACTGGTCTTGTCTCATCTTGTCTTTTATATCGTTTCTTTGGATTTTCCCAGGAGTACTTTCTGTCTCTTCCCTTCCTTGCCTATATAGACGTGAACAAATTTGTATACACCTCTTTTTGTTTTTTCTATCTATCCACGAGGTTTTGGAAATCCTTGTACTGTATACTGCTGCCTGTCCATAATACACTATAGTGAGCGCCTATTACTATTTTTTTCACAAAATCATAGCATGATGATTTATTCAAATTAAATAACACGCGGTGCCTTCTACTCAATGGAAATTAAATAAAAGACAACTAAGAAAAACTGAGGTTTTCTAATAAGTAGCTATTAGCTGTTAAACTATTAATGTGCTATTATTTCCAGCGTGACAGTTCCACTTCAAATTGATTTTAGCTTTTCCCTTTTTCTTACATGTAAATGTTAGTCAGTGGACAGGAAAAAATGGAAACATAGAAATTTGCAGGGAAATTATTTAAAAAAAATGTTTTAATTCTAAACTTCACGTTAATGCATATTCTCTCAATGAAATCAAGAGAAGGAAAGTCCATCATGATGAAATATTTTTTTCCCCCAGTGTATCACTTTAAATAGTGTTTTCTTTGAAACATGACATATTTACACATTCCACTGAAGAGAGATATCACTTCAGTTTTCAAAGCAGTTCCACAGAATGCATTCAGGGTAGAGGGTAAAGTGTATAACGGTTAAACGATTACATATCTCCATGTTTATGTGGACTTTATTTTATAAAGCAACAACTGTATAAGTTGTTCTCCCACTATGGATAACTTTCACAGTGAGGCACCCCTGGTGTGCCATTTGACAGATGAGCTAATCCCCATAGGGAGACGAGCGACTGATGGATGAAGTGCGCCTATAATTTATGCAAAAACAGCATGTGCGTCTCGGAAATGCCATAGTAAGAATTGCATTGGAGTGAACCAGACTGTATCATTGGATTGTACAGTGTTAGTTGGTACGCTTTGCCATGCAAATGTGTTTTTTAAAAAAAATGTATTTATATATTATTATTTAAATATAGTAAAACACCGAAACCGAAACATTAAAAAGTCTATATAGTAAAATACAAAAAAACGAAAACAATTTGCGTTATATGATATATCATTTTCAAATATCTGCATTATAATCTGAAAGAGTTTTAAAGAAAAGAGTCATTATATTAATGCGAAGTACTAACTGGAAGCATAATAGTGAGTGATTTGTATTATAAAAAATGTTGTTTTCAGTTAAGAAATATCGGTCAAGGTTTAAGCTTTACTGTGCAACAGTTTGATCTTGGTATTATTATGTTTACTTATAAACATACTTCTCTCCACATAAACTTATATTTTTTACTTATATTTAACATTTATGTGTTTATAATAATAATGAAACTGAATATCTTTTACACAACGTGACTATAGCCAGTGCTAAATTTCCAATTAGGTACCAGAGTAGGTACCTACAGGCACATGTCCTGTACGACTGCCTAAGCTTTTTGGAGCTTAGGTGGGTGTTTAGGAGATAGGTATCAGACCCTTGGCAAGTGTCCACTCTAGTCCAGTCTGCAGTCTATACTTTATAGCAGAGCTGCAGGAATAGTTGTACACAGTGTAAACCGTAATCTTGCCCCATCTCCTCTATTGTTTGTGTGTGATGTTTGACAGGAAGTAAATCGTTTCCCATCTGATTCGGTGATGGTTCAAAATTCCTGAACTCTGAGACAAAATGTAGCTTAATCACAAGTGAATGGATAAAGTGACAAGTGACAAAATAGAAAAAAAAAGAGAAGCAATAACTGTCGCTCCCATTCTGTCTCCCCTCGCCAACTTAGATTACAAATAATTCACTCTGAGAAAGTAAAATGGTCCAATAATAGGCTTCTCTATGAGAAGCCTGTGATTGGACCACATGAGTCCTGCAATGACGTCAGGACAGGACATGGAAGACAATACCTGGAGCTTTGCCTGGTGCTGGATTCCTTGTAAGTAAAAACCTTTTAACAGATTTTATGGGAAGGGACCTGATAGTAATGTCCCCTAGGGAATTGTATATGTAAAAAAACTAATTTGTAAAAGGGTTGAAGTAATCCCGTGAGCATTTCCATGAAATGTTTCTGCTCCTCCACCTGGTAATATTGTTTTCCTTTGTACAAATGCATCATTCACTATGTCATTAATTAAATCATTATGTTGTTCATTTTAGGCACGCTCTACCTATGGACTATGCTCGTGGTCAGCTGTCTGGGCAGCCCATGTGTATGAAACAATACTATGGACTCTTCTCTTCTTATCGCCTTCCAGGGGGCAACAAAGATACCCTTGTGGCACAAGAAAGCAGTATCATGCCAGAACCAGAGCACATCATTGTTGCATGCAACAACCAGGTGAGTGAGCATTTCTAACGATATATTGAAAAGGATGAGCATGATAATCTACATGATTCTTCCAAATTCAGAGCAATGATATGGGGATTCCTTTATTAAACAGGAAGTTGTGGTGTTTTGAAAACCACTATCTTCAAGTAAGGTTAAAATACTTGATCCAAATTGGGTCTATTTTTCCAACTATTTTGTTGCAGGAATTTGCCGATTGTATTGTATATAGAGATGTCGCGAACCGTCCGCGAACTTCTCACGAACGGTTCGCCGCGGTTCGCCACGAGCTGTTCGCGGTGAACTCCGGTCAGCTGACACGTCCTGGCCAATCTCCAGCAGACCCTCCCTCCCAGACCCTCCTACTTCCTGGACAGCATCCATGTTGAAAATTATAAAATATGATATGATGATATAATAGATTGTTCTCTTAAAAGTAAGAAAGCTACCACTACCTCAATTATAGCCATAACGAAGAACATGGAAACATGGATGCTGTCCAGGAAGTAGAAGGGTCTGGGAGGGAGGGTCTGCTGGAGATTGGCCGGGACGTGTCAGCTGACTGGAGTTCGCCGCGAACAGCTCGTGGCGAACCGTGGCGAACCGTTCGCGAGAAGTTCGCGGACGGTTCGAGACATCTCTAATTGTATGCTGTTATTTTCTTATGTTTCCCTGCTCAGTGTATGTTTGTTATATATAGTCTATAGAAAAGTCTTCTCTAACAGATTTAATAGTAGAAAGACAGCTTCTTGGTGGACTGATATAGATCCATTAGCAAGTTCTCTGACAATTTAAACATTTGGGCTACATGATTTTGGAAAAATATATATTTTCATTCCCATCATAATAAGTGATGTGATTATGACTCCTTCCTGTAAACCAGTAAATCTAGTCAAATACCGTTAACAAGTCTATCTAAAAAATATAGGTTTCCTGTTCTTCGTTATGGCTATAATTGAGGTAGTGGTAGCTTTCTTACTTTTAAGAGAACAATCTATTATATCATCATATCATATTTTATCATTTTAAATATAGCCATTTTTAAGCTAATAATATCATAGTAAAGTATTTCAAAATCTGAGATAGAATTAACAGTCGTAGTTGTATATCTTGTTCACTGTTTTATCTACAGTTCTTTGTGTTGGATGTTGTTATTAACTTTCGTCGGCTAAGTGAGGGTGATCTCTTCACTCAACTGCTGAAGATAGTAAGAATGGCCGGGAATGAAGATGAGAGGCTACCACCTATAGGTTTGTTGACATCAGATGGACGATTTGAGTGGGCACAAGCAAGAGAGATGTTAATGAAGGGTAAGGAAAATCAATGTATATTTTTACCAACAAATAGTTAAAGCCAATCTGCTCTATTAATGTATAAAACATAATTCAGATCATAGAATAACTTGAATAAATCAATCTGCTTTTAGAACTCTTTTTCTGCATTTGTGTATACAAAGTTTGAATTAATTCTGGTGCAAAACTATAACTTTTTTACATTTTTTGTGCAATATTTTATCAAATTTAACTGCTTAACGACCAAAGGTTACACTTTGCCATGACCACAATCTTTTGTTTTTAAATCTTAGGTCAGCATGGTAGTCTCTTAGTCATTAATTGAGTTGGTCATTCTGCAAAGAACTATGAAGGCATAGACCAGCATTGGTATTTAAAGGGTTAAAAATAAAACACATCACTCTAAATATTATCTATTTCTATTTGTATATAACATATTTCTATTTGAATATGTAAAATGTAAAGTTAATCTACATGAGAATAGTTTAACAGATCTGTTTGATTGTGCATAATTCATCCTGAATTCAATGTCCGTTTTTACATTACAAAGTGACACTCTAGTCTAAGTGTATGAAGACCTTATTTTGGGCAAAAATCTAAATGTATAATATTAAACTATTTAGCACTATGCTCCATTTATGCGTAACTTCTATGTATGTACTTCCACCTTGAAGAGTCACCTGACCAGCAAAACGTGCATCGGGGCTCTGTTTCAAATCCTATTTTGCCAGAGAAGTAATTGATTTATGAGATTGTGGTTAGATTGATACTTTTGTATGATGATTTCAGGATTCACAGTGATCTAATCAGCTAGTTACATACATTCATATCATTGGAAGTAGTATCTACTAGCTTGATGGCTAAGTTGCCCTTGAAAGCACACTCAGGGAGTTTCGTTATTACCGATTAAATGCTGATTAAATGCCCTTGAAGGGATAATACCTAGATTCAGAAAACTAGTTAGTAATTACTCTGGATATCTCTTTGACTTCTACTGTTTGGAGACATTGTTATTCTTACGTGAAATTGATTCATTTGGGCAATTCTAGTTATACATTATCTAGCTGACACATTGTTGACACATTGTGTAGGTTACATAGTATTGCACTACATCTATAGAATTTAGATACAGGGGTAGGCAACCTTCGGCACTCCTGATGTTTTAAACTACATCTCCCATAATGCTCTTATAGTCATAATGCTGGCAAAGCATCAAGGGAGATGTAGTCCAAAACGTCTGGAGTGCCGAAAGTTGCCTATCCCTGATTTAGAACATGCTAATTGAATAATTTCTTGCTACTACTTTTGAATCCTTATTCTTATTGTGTTTTTAAGGTTTTTAATTGATAGTTTATATTTTTTTTACTAATATAAGTTGTGTTTTTTATCACGTGTATATTATAGCTCTAGGTAAAACTTGTCCTTTCTTTTTTGCTAACTCACACTTTTACCTTAGAACTTTGGACTACTAGTTCTTCCTTTGTTGTTTCTTTCCTCAAACAGATTCTACAAACCGTGACTCGCTGGACATGATTGAACGGTGTATGTGTTTGGTGTGTTTAGATGCACCAACTGGAATGGAATTAAATGATACTAACAGAGCACTGCAACTTCTTCATGGAGGAGGTTATGATAAAAACGGTGCAAATAGATGGTACGACAAACCGATGCAGGTAACGTGTTTTACTTCTTGTGCATTTCTAAAAATGGTTTCACAGATAGACAGTCAGACAGAAAAGACAGACAAACAGAATCGGCAGACAGAATGGAAAGACAAAGCACAATGGACAAACAGACAGACAATTAAATATTTTTTCTGGATAGAGGGGTTTAGCTTGGGGCCCTAGGGAAATGCTTTAACCAAAGAAAAAGCAGGGAGATTGCACACATTCCCATCTTCCATAATAACCAGAAGAATATGTTTTGGGTACTAGAAGTGTTCTCGAAGAAAATGAATATTTGCAAGCTTATTTACTAATGTGAGAATTGTTGGGAAGTCAAAGTGAATTTAGAGCGAATATCAGAATCGCCATTATAGTCAAACTGGATGCATAGCTGATTACTTTGACTTTACATTTCAGTGGGAACACGTAATATTTACATCTATATCAAAGCTTACAGAGGATGCACAGTGCACGTTGCTATGTGGGATTAATATATTAACCACTCGTATACCTATTGTGCTAACTTTGTTTTAGTTCTGATACTGAATGGTTGTGTCCAAAGCCAAAGACGTGATTGCGATGTATTTATATTTAGTTAGACATTGTTATTCAGAATTCCAAAGGAAATAATACACGTTGAAAATAACACTGAAAACACAAAATAGTAAGCTATTTAATTATATTCATTTCCAGTTTAAACATATGCCATTACTTTACTAGGCATGTTTCATATGTTTGTATATATATATATATATTAGTCAAAATGTCTAAATAGCTAAATTACATTCTATAAGTTTCGAAATCATAACCTAAGAATTGGACTTTCATCAAATCCCAAAGACAAAACTAGTGCAAAAAAAAAAAAAGCCAACATTAAGATAAAATGTAATAAATAAATAAATAAATAAATTGCACCAGATGTATCAAAGAATAACATCCAACTGGATGCAGAACGTTTATGGTACCACTGGGAAATCTAAAGAAAAACACACTCCTTCCATCTGCTTCCATCAACAGACTTACCAGACTCATCATCTGGGATCCCTTTAGATGCTCCACTTTTTAAAGATTAAAAGTATGTCTTAGGATAATGCACAAGGGACAAAACCCAAAAGCCCATGAAATGCATTGAGAACATTCCACCTAATCTCCACTTGAATACAAAAATAAATACATAATTTTAGTAAAAGTGTGTCAATAAAAATGTTAATTTTATTTTTAAGATTGAGTTTCACATGATGTTACAAGTGTGGAAAAACTACTTTTTTTTTTTTTTTTACCATACAACTGATTTTGTGAATATTTTATTAGGTATTTTTAAAGGGTATATACAGTATCTCACATTGAGTATATCCATCACATTTTGAAAATATTTTATTGTATCTTTTCATGTGACAACACTGTAATGAAATGACACTCTGCTACAATGTAAAGTAGTAAGTGTACAGCCTGTATGACAGTGTAAATTTGCTGTCCACTCAAAATAACTCAACACACAGCCATTAATGTCTAAACTGTTGGCAACAAAAGTGAGTACAAAAATGTGAGGGGTGTACTCACTTTTGTGAGATACTGTATATATTAGACATGTGCACTTGGTTTTGTTCCCAATATAATTTCGTCTGAATTTTGGCAATTCGGACATTCGGATGCTTCCAAATGTCCGAGTTGCCGAATTTACGAAATGCTGAACCGAATTGCTGAAGTGCTGAATTTCGGAAGTGCCGAAGTGCTTCGGATTTCTGAAAAGTGGCAAAACAAGAGAGGGAGGGAAAATTACGTGAATGATGGCAGGAAGCCAATTCCTGGCACTGGGAGCCCTGTAGATGTGTAAGTGGTTGTGGTGGCAGTCCGGGCACCTAACCCTTACCCTACCCTAATCCTACTCCTAACCCTAGCCTTACCCCTAACCCTAGATGTGTAAGTGGTTGTGGTGTTTAGGGGTTAGGAGTAGGGGTAGGGGCAGGGGTAGGGGTAGGGTTAGGGAGCCTTGCAGATGTGTGAGTGGTTGTGGTGGCAAGAGAGGGATGCTTACAAATGTCCGAATTGCCCAAGTACCTAAGTGCTAGTCCTGAAGTCCCGAATTTCGGAAGTGCCGAATTGCTCAAGTCCCGAATAGCCGAAGTTACGAATTTCGGAAGTGCTGAACCGAAGTGCCAAATTGCCGAAGTACTGAATTGTCAAAGTCCCGAATTTTGGAAGTGCCGAACCAAATTATTTGCCCATGTACATCCCTAGTATATATTTTCTACCATTAGACAGTATGGTATGAACAGTTATATATGTAAATATGAATAGCAGCTGTGTGATCTCCAAAGGACCTTTTATATAAATTGCAATAATTCAAGTGTAATTAAAACCAACTGGTTAACCAGAACAAAAGCCTTTAAAGTTATATATTCTGGCCATCCAGCAATGGAATTAATATAAGACACAAACACTGTTGTTGCATTACATCAATATTGCCTCTTGAGTAGAGGCAAACACCTCGCTATGTTAAATGATAAACTACATTTCTTGCAACATTTGTTTAAGTCTTTTTATAAACAAACAATACTTTAATTGCATAGAATAATATAAGCAATGAATGTTAGTTATAGTATCGTGCAGTAATCCTTGCTTCTCTGAAAAATGGCCAATTTCACTATTAATCATGTGAGAGTGGATAGAAGTTGTCCATGTTACTGATGATAACAATACGATTATAAATATAAGATTTAGAATGTAAACTCACAAGCCATATTGATAAGCATACAGTGCTCTAAATTTTAAAGTTTGGAAACACTAAGATTATTTTACTGGATGGGAGGGTGGTAAGTCAAAAATATATAGTGAAAAAAATCACTGTCTCTTTAATTATATAATAAGTTTCAGTTCTGCAGGGCCACTCCTCCTTCATTAGTGGCATTTTGTATAAGCTTACTTGAGAGAATCTAGGCACATCAAAAAATGGGTTTTGCACATAGAAACATAGAATGTGACGGCAGATAAGAACCATTCGGCCCATTTGGTCTGCCCAATTTTCTAAATGCTTTCATTAGTCCCTGTTCTTATCTTATAGCTAGGATAGTCTTATGTCTATCCCACGCATGCTTAAACTCCTTTACTGTGTTAACCTCTACCACTTCAGCTGGAAGGCTATTCCATGCATCCACTACCCTCTCAGTAAAGTAATACTTCCTGAAATTATTTTTAAACCTTTGTCCCTCTAATTTAAGACTATGTCCTCTTGTTGTGGTAGTTTTTCTTCTTTTAAATAAGAAAAACATACCTAGTCTCCTTTAAGAATGGATTGCCATTCAGGTTGCAAAGCCAGCTGCCCATGAGTGGAGGCATGCTACTCACCACTCTTTAAAGTGCTTAGTCACTCCACGGCTGAGACCCAAGACACTCATGCTGTGGCTAGTTGAAAAGTTGTGAAGCTTCAAACTCTAGGACTGGGGCTGTGACTCTGAGGACTGCTTTGATTCTGGTTTCAGTCTGTTTTAATCTGTAATGATTGTTGATTCTGTTAACCATGTCAGCAGATTAATTATATTGCTAGCTGCCTTAACCTTGTGTAGACTGTGCGCTGAGAGTTAATAGTAAGTCAAGAGTAGCTGATATGGTTGGAATCTATCAATATCTTGCCACCCACAGCCCAGCCCTGCTGGAGTTATGACTAAGGAAGAGTTTATAAAGTTCTTTAACTATAAAAATTCATACCAGCAATAGGCACTCTCAGTCAATCACCACGGCCCACCAATGCTGAGGCTAATGCTTCCCTATTGGCCTAAGCAGCACAGTGCAGATGGCCAGCTTGGGAGTCTCATTTAGCATTAAACCATTAAAAATGGTCTAACAGTCAACGGAAGATTGGTGTCTGGGCACCCCAGACACTATAACCACTTCAATGAGATGAATCAGTTTCAGTGCCTACAGTGTTCTTTTATTGTATGGTAGACAGTTGTAATATACATATTCCATCAGGCAAGGATTTTCTATTTTACTATAATGCAAGCTAGTGACATGAAACCAGAACTATGTTTAAAGTATATTTTTCTAGACACATTTTAGTAGTTGAGGATGTACATTAAATGTAATCCGTAATGTAACTTACCCTTTGTACTGTTTTTTTTTTTACCTTTTAGTTTGTCGTGGGGAGAGATGGCGTGTGTGGCACCATTTGTGAACATTCACCCTTTGATGGGATCGTCCTTGTACAATGTACAGAGCACCTTCTTAAATATATGTGAGTGGACACAATGCCATTCTATATATAAATATACATAAATAATTATAGGGATTAAGGAAATTACAGATTGGTCCAACTCCGGACCAACTGGATATCAACAGAAAAATGTGTTGTATGTAGAGTTGTATATAGGAACTGACTCGCTAATGCAAGCTGATTTACAGTTAAATATAGCACGAGTGTTATTCGAGTACAGCACGTCTGCTATTCACAAAGATCCAATACGAACCCAGCTCATAAAATAATGGCAGTTTAGTTTTAAAAATCACAGATTGACATCAACTGTACATTAAAAAAAGCAGTAAAAACTGAGCTTACACTAGGAAAATAGTTAATTTGGATATTAACAAAACAGTCAGTGCCGTGAGTGCCTACAAATCTTCCGCAGTGTGACCGTGAAGGAGACTGAAAATAAGATGACCATTGGAACCAGTAGGTGTATTCTAATCTATAGCTTACAGCTTTGGATGTTTAGCAGTTGCACAGAAATAATTGCTTGATTCTCAGCCTCCACCGAAAGCAATGCAAATCTTCATAGTAGTAAAATGTTTCTTTTAACATAATCCAAACTTGACTTTTAGAGATAGTACAAATGGTATGACACCTACTAATCCCACCATTAGATGAATACAGTACTCGTAGTCAATGAAAATGTCTCTTCATTGTTTTCATTTTATAACAAAATTATTGGTATTGAAATTGGTATCATCACACAGTGATTTATAATCTTTTTAGAGAATGTTCAGATAAAAAGATGCTTCTATCTGCTATGATCTTTTCAACAATGAATAAAAAGCTGTAAGAATCCAGAAAATCACTGTGACAAACACAACCATACCACTGATTACACAGACTTAAATATCACAGGGCTAAGCTCCCATCAAGAGATTTATCCAAATAACAAATACCATTTGTAAGACATATTCCGCTAGAAGATATTAACCTTTTCTTTCTGAAAAACATACATACATGTGCCAACTTTAGTTTTAGCAATTATGTATATTTGTACGGCAGTGTAGGTTGTCAATTTGCAGAGAAACATATTTCTCATCCAGGTATCCACGCTGTCCCTCTGCACCTCTGCGGAGGTACTGTAAAAGGTAACAACTTTCCACATTTCACAGCAAAATGTAAACCGTTTGTCATAGCTGTTTTCTTGTCGTCAAGAAGGGTATTTAGTTGCCTCTGAACTACAATTATACATGAATTGTAGCTGCTCACTAGGAGCTTGGGAATGGGGTAACACTTCAGACCATAGGACTGTGCTTTCTCTGGTGTTGAGTTCCTGGTTTCTAGCTTAATGGGCATTTAGACCAACATTATTTTGTCCTCTTATCACTGAGATAGTCTGATTTTGGATACCCTACCCCAGTGTTATTATTACCGCATTAGCCAAGGGATGGAGGGAAGGGTAGAGGACATTTGCCAGGGTACAATCTGGCATATATAATCCCACCTTTCCACAAGTGGGGTGGTAGTAGTGGTTGTGGTCAATCACTGTGTCCATACCTGGTATTTGCTTTGCTCTATATCATTGTTCACGGGTTGACATATGACAGAGTGACCATTCATTGGGCCTCACAGTTAATGTTGTGGTATAGGTGATCCTGATTAATATGTCACATCTGGCATCAACCATAGGTATGGGTGCTGTGAGAGGGTAATCAAGAAGCTAAAACATGTAGTATATATATTTTTTGGTTTTAGTAGGAGACTACTTGTGATATTACCAATTAACAAAATGAAAGTTTGTGAATTGAAGTAAGATGGCAGCAGAAAAAAACCAAAAACATAATAGTTCCGCTAAGTAAATTGACACCATTATCTTCACACCTAAAGATAAAGAAATTCATTGTGTAAGCACTAATTTGTGTATGTATATTTATAGATATAAATATATATTATAATAACTGGTTTCTTCTTCAATAACGCCCACATGGCAATAACTTTATAAAAATCCTATTACTGATTTGCAGGAAAAACAGCCCCAAAAAATTAGTGAGAGCAGATTCTGTCAGCGAGTTACCAGCCCCGAGAAGACTCCGGTGGAAGTGTTCACCAGAAATTCAAGGACACTTAGCTTCATCTGCAGAAAAACTCCAAAGGTATGGAAACACATAATATTAAATGAAAGCTTCATATATACCCCTGTAAGCATTAAATGAATACTAAATACATGTCTGGATTAACCAACAAAAAGTCCTCCTGACATTACACGTTCTCAAAATGGCTGCCATTACGTCATGGTATGTGACAGCTGCTGGGTTACTTTTTGAATACCCTAATATGTTTTCACCAAGTCTCATAAGTTCCACTTACCCAATAGCCATTAGTGTGTAAAATATCACCACCAGTGAACAGATATTTGCTAATGGTGAGTAAGCCCTGGACCCTTTTAGGCTTGTCTATTAGCACAGGACATGAAATTTGGAGCTCTATTTTTGCCACATGCAAACCTTAAACTGTTAGGGCATTTTCAGATTGTGACTAAATCAATCACTGAGGCTATATTACTAATGTTGTGGAGCTCATCCTAATGTCACTCCTAATTACTGTACAATGAAGAGTAAAACATAAAATTGTTATGCATTGATAAATGTAATGTGCAGCTGAAGATGAACTGATAATCCTATTAAACAGCAGTTGTTAGTAACGCTAAACAACCAATTAGCATTGATGAATACATTTGCACTCAAACCAGGATATTAATAGTGGGAAAAAAATCTACATTTGGTTATATTTCTTTCTTTTTTTTTTTCTTTATGAAAATCTATTAAAAGTATGTTTTACAAATACGCTGACGTAGAAAATCAAACTACATTCACACAACCATTCATGCCTGTCCCGGAGTGAGAGTGGAGGCGTTAGTTGGAAGGAGTCTCAGGTAAGTCTGTAGCCAGAGGCCAGAGTCTCCATATGTCATTATATAATCCAAAGTTCTCAAGACTTACCTTCTATACAGAAGCCTTACCTTCTATATACAGCCTTCTCCATGAATCTCTGATAGTTCATCTGTGAGGCAATTTCAGTCCACTTGGGTATCGCCTCAGATCTCCATTTTCTTGCCAAACAGACTTTGGTGGGCATTAATATATGCACAATTAGCATTTTTATTTCTTCTTTCAATTTGGGGAAATCCAAATGGAAAAAAGAGAGTTGGGGGGGTCAGTTCAATATGGGACTGTGTTAAACTTGTAAATTCATTTTCTAACTTGACCTACAAAGGTAATAGGCAGGTACATTTCCACCATATATGCCGTATAGTTCCAGTGTCCCTCTCGCATCTCCAACAAAGATCACTAACGTTGGGTTGAAACTAACTTAACCTGTCTGGTGTCAGATACCATCTGTGTAAAATGAATAGTTTTTATTTGTCAGATTTAAAGTGGTAACCCATTCACTGGATACAAATTCTGTGCTCAGCTCCCTTTCCCATTTCATAATCTCCCAAGCATTGTACCCGTTTTGCTCGTATACAATAATTCTCTAATCTTATAAGACAAATTGAAGCATACATTTGGTTATATGTCACATGACAGGCTACACACTTTAAATTCATGTTTTTCACATGGTATAAGAAAAACGTTTTCCATATTATTTTCAATAGCAGTTGCAATATGTAAGGTTCACGGATACATAATTATTGATAATTAAATGAAATGCCACGTCATGCTCTGAGGCATTTCTGTTGAATCAGCACTCCGTCATGCCATCAATGTATGAGAATTAACAGATGATTGATATTTTCTAAGTATGTATGCAGCAAACATACCAACAATGAAAGACATTCATGCATCAACAAAAATAAAATAAAGGAGATGTATAAAAATATCACTGTATGTAAAGTGGAGCAATTGCCTAAAAACTAATATAATTGTTGAGAAAATCCCATTGGTTGACATTGTCATTGCTCCACTTTATGAATTAACTTCTTCCTAACTTATAGAACTCTCACTCCATATTTACTAGAGATGTTACATAGTTACATAGTTACATAGCTGAAAAGAGACTTGTGTCCATCAAATTCAGCCTTCCTCACATATGTTGTTGCTGTTGATCCAAAAGAAGGCAAAAAACCTAGTCTGAAGCGCTTCCAATTTTGCCACAAACTAGGAAAAAAAATCCTTTTTGACCCCAAAATAGCAGTCCGATGTCTCCTTGGATCAAGCAGCTATTACCCCACTAATTACAAATTATATCCCTGTATGTTATGTTTTTGTAGGTATTTATCCAATTGCAGTTTAAACCTCTGTAGTGACTCTGACAAAACCACCTCTTCAGGCAGAGAATTCCATATCCTTATTGTTCTTACTGTAAAAAAACCTTTTCTTTGCCTTAGATGAAATCTCATTTCTTCCAGCCTACATGTGTGACCTCGTGTCCTATGTATATCCCTGTTTATGAATAGATTTCCAGAATATATTTGTATAAAGTTATCATATCCCCTCTCAGGCGCCGTTTTTCCAAACTAAACAGATTAAATTTTTTTAACCTTTCTTCAGAACTAAAATGATCCATTCCTTTTATCAATTTTGTAGCTCGTCTCTGGACCCTCTCCAGTGCCATGATATCTTTCTTTAGAACAGGCGCCCAAAATTGCACAGCATATTCAAGGTGTGGTCTTACCAGCGATTTATAAAGAGGCAAAATTATATTTTCATCCCAAGAATATATGCCCCTATTTATACATGACAAAACCTTACTGGCCTTAGCAACTGCAGATTGACATTGCATATGTCCACATGGAGAGGTGGCTCAAGATCTCAAAACAAGAATAATTCTACAGCTATAATGCATGTCACGATGAAGGTGGAACCATCTGGCAGAGAATGCTAAGATTATAGACATATGTATTATTGAAGGACAACTGTCACCTTAAATCTGTTTTTAATACAATAATCCTTTCATCAGTTTTTAAACTGAAATAGTTTTTTTGTTTTTTTAATGAAGTGTTTGTAAAATAAAAACAAAAAAAAACCTCATCCAAGCCTTTTGTAAATGACAGGATCCTGAAGCCATATATACATGCATCAAAACTGACAGTCTCTGTGGTCTTCTCTGCTTTTGTACGGGCAGTGAAGCAGGGAAGGCGACACAGGTCACTTGTGAGCTGGAGATATAAGTATTGTGCTTTGGATATAAACTTAGTCAGGTGGAAGTGGGGGTTGAAACACTTAATTATTATAATGTTTGGCTTTCTTAATAGAAAAGTAGTGACATGTAGATTTTGAGATTCATATCAGATCGAACTGCAATTTGGACGAACTTGGGCCACTTGTATTCTAAATTTTGCATGAGGCACCAAACAATATGAAAAAACAGCAGGAGCAGTAAAATATATATATATATGAAACAAGGGGGGGTTGTGTGTCTTGTGTATTATATATATATATATATATATATATTTAGGAAATATATAATATATGAACATAGATTTTTTTCTTGATTTTTAACTGCTCCTTCCATTTCTTTCCCCCTATTGGTTACTCTCTTTCTCTTCAGCTGTAAACAAAATGGCAAGAAACTGCTCCTATCACTGTACTGCGATATATATATATATACAGTTGGACCTCGGTTTACGAATTTAATGCGTTCTCCGGGACATTTCTTATTGCGAAACATTTGTAAACCGAAACGTGGTTTCCCGTAGGAATGCATTGAAAACCAATTAATCCGTTCTGGAGGTCAGAAATAAGTCAAAATGAACTGGCATGGAAACCAACCCACAATGTAAAAGTCACAATAAAAGGCAACCAAAGGACAAAGCTCATCTCCCTACCTTTCCACAGCTTGAGAAATGCACCAAAAAGTCCCAAAACAACTGCAAACAATTTCCAGAATGGCTCTAAAACTCGATGCAAAAGCCACTCCAACACCTCCACACTCAACGCCATGTTCTACCCACTGGCTCCAGCATGCAGGGGGCGGTGCTATAAACCTCCTCAGTGCAATGCATCCTGGGGAAACTTGCTTTGTATTGTGAAAAAAATTTGTAAACCGAGGCATTATTTTCTATGGATTTTCATTTGTAAACCGAAAATTATGTTAACCGAGGTGTTTGTAAACCGAGGTCCCACTGTATATAACATTTTCATGCCTTTTTGGTTTGTTCTCCTGATTTGGTTGCAGAAACCTACTTTCAGCCGAGCAAAACTGACATCCAGCCAAATTCAAGTGTTTCAAAAAAATTTCTGTCTTCACAAAAAATAATTCAGCAGAAACGAATTTTCTCACCCTGTGCATGTCTATTGTCATACACCTCAATACTATCCGAATATAATCTTTGATCTAATAACGTGTTAAAATATTAGTTCTTCTTGAGTAAATAATGTAATTTTTACTAAATCACTCTTAATTTGTTTTTTTCAGGATAGTAAATAATCTTGATTTCACTGTTTACAAGTTTAAGAACTATGGAAAAGAGTTTATCAAGAAACAAAGAATGAGCCCAGATGCATATATTCAAGTGTCTCTCCAGCTTGCATTTTACAAGTAAGAAAAATGTCTTTCCTATATCACACTAAAGATTATTTTTATAAGACTAAAGTTATGCAATTTATTGACATCTGTTCCATATTTAGAGTATTAACAGTGTGATAGAGTGATTTGCAATTAAAGAAATACTCTAAGAATCAAAACAACTTTAGCTTGATAAAGCCATTTTAGTGTATAGATCATGTGCAGGAAGTTTAAACATTAGATCTCTCTTTACAGGAAATGCTTAGGAAGGCTGTGAAAGTCACATACAGGAGAGGTATGCCTAGGGCTGCATAAACGTGATGTAACTCCTAAATGCCAGAAAATTGAGCAGTGAAACTGCAGGGGCATGATCTATACACCAAAACCCCTCCATTAAGCTAACGTTCTTTTGGTGCTTATAGTTCTCATTTACAACTTGTTTATTTTAGTATGTTTGAGCCAGTAGTTTAAGTACATAGAGAGGAACCTAATCATGAATACTATTGCTCTCCATACCCTACTTCTGTTGACTACCTTCCTTTCAACGGGTGGTCAATGGGCACAGTTCCTTTGGTATAGAGGGACCCAGAAGATCTAATGTGGATGCTGCATCCCGGAGCACTCCATATGCAATACAGTACACAGGAAAGGGAATTTGATTGTGGTCTGTGTCACTTCCACCCCTGCACTCGATCATCCGTAAAGAAGCAGGTCCAGAACAAGGATCTTTGGGACTGGATTGCCAGTTGCAACTGTATTCTCTAAAGTCCCAGAACTAATCTGAGCTAGTAGACAAGTGTAGTGTAGACAACATCAATGTATAAAACAACCACTCTCCATTTTAAACAGCTGCTGCTCCCATCACAATTATTTCAGCTTTACTGCAGGAGCTAAGTCAATGCCCCATTACCACCATATTTCAGCATATTCACAAGAACACAAAACAGTACTATGTAGGTGTTGCCAGACAGCTGACATCAGTAAACTTTTTACTTCTTGAAATTTGCATTAGATTATTGTTCATCCTCCTGGCTGCCAGATGGGGCAGCTTTATAACTATCTTACCTGGCAATATTTGGATTATTACTCATCTATTAAAAAAAAAACAAAAAAAAAAAACAGGTAGACCCTACTTCTCCATATGAATGACTCTGAAATGAGAAGGAATTGCAAAGTTACTATAAACAGAAGGTAAAACTGAGATGTCTGCTTTAAGACATTTTTGAAACATTTCGACTTTTATATGTTTCTTGACTATATTTCCTGTAATGTATCCAAACCATCCTTTCTTGATTGCATCCTTGTTTTATTCTTATTTATTAAGTTGTTGTGGTATATTTTGTGATTGGAACAGAAAATAGGAAATCAGATACTGATTTAGTTTTTTAACAGATGCCACAGAAAACTTGTGCCTACGTATGAGAGTGCTTCCATACGAAGATTTCAGATGGGAAGAGTTGACAACATAAGATCTTCAACGGCTGAAGCACTAACATTTGTTAAAGCGATGGTGGATGGAAAAAGTACCATACCGGTAATTATACCTATCACTTATACTCTGTAACATTATGATATTAACTAATATCCACAGAAAGCATTAAATATTGGGGGAGGGAGGAGGTTCAATCGTACATTACGGCAAATATGGAACAAGCACATTGTAGTTTTTGTTAATGTTAATGAGTTAGGGTGTTTCGTAAGAAGTAAACAATCAGATTGAGTTTTCTGATAAATTACAGTTGTCTGTCACCTAAAAAAAAGTACAATTTGCATTATGTTTATCTAAAACAATAATTGTGTGAAGCTTTAAAAAACATTTTTTTTAAAAATACACACATATATAAATAACAGACCTGGTAATATTGTTCATAAATAATATTTTGGTAATTTTTTTAAGTTAAAATGTTTATTTTATTTACTATCTTAATAATTTTGACAACAAATGACCAATTAAAATGTATTTCCAATTTGACTGGTATATGCATGTCACTATTTTCTGTTTAGTGTTATAGTTTACTTTCTGACTGTACAGAGTATTTGATTTTGCAGGATACTGAGAAGATGCAATACCTCAGGGAGGCAATAATGGCTCAGACTAATTACACTATTCTGGTGAGTAGTTCTACTTCACATTATTCTAAGAGGCACAGGTCAAGTTTTGAAATGGTTAGGAAGAAACAGAATTAGTGGTTCAGAGTTTGCAAAAAAGTTATTTTCCTGGAACAGAGATACTAGCTCCTGTATATCTTCCAAGTGTCCCTATTTAGGAGATACGGTCCCTACGTTTGGGTCAAATCCCTCTGTCTCTCTTTTCTTTACTGATGTCCCTCTTTTTTAGGAGCTCCTTATTGTTGCTGTGTTTGAATGTATAACAGAGCTCCACAACAATGATACACCCAGTACTGTATATTTAAACTACAATCAATGTGTTCAGAAATCAGTCTGTGTAGATCAGATACACTGTTCTTGTTCTAAATGAAATTGTAGTTGCTTAAATTATTGTTAGTAAACACATCATGAAGTCACCTGAATGAATTTCTCTAAACAATCTTGCCTCTGGCCACACCCCTCCCTCCCCCTCCCCTCCCCTCATACCCTTAAAATGAAAGTGTCCCTCTTTGTGAATTTGATATTTTGGGAGCTAGTCACTAAAGTGTGCATTGTCATGAATTCAAAATGAATGTCAGACTTAAGGATAAACTTGTGAAAATAGCCAACTATAAGCCACCTACAATGCATATATAAGTGAGAAAAAGTGGAGCGCTAAATGAAGTACCGTACCCTTTAATGACAGTGATACATAGGCAGGAGAGCAGCACATGCAAAAAAAATAAAAAAGTAGACAAAATATAGTGCAGATGGTACAATGTCCACAAGTGAGCTGTAGCTCAAATAAATAGAAGCACTCACATGAAGCAGAGCCTGGTAACAATAAAGCTCAATATTCACACAGGTTTGCCTTTGCAGGTAGCAACACGTCTTTCTTCTTATGAAACACCACACTCAAAATGGAGAAGAAAAAAGGCAGTCATAGTGCAGATATTTAAACCACTCCAAAATAAACAAACAAGATGGATGTGCTCACCTGTATAAGAGCCAAGTAGGTCCTGGCTTTAGATATGTAAGGTTGGTGTCACCTATGGAGTGACACTGCTAAATTGTGTCTAGGTATTTAAGAGCTTTTTGCACACTACACCGTTGTTCTTTATATAAGCCAACTATAGTTGGGTAAACTACTTTTCAGAGTTATTATTTAAGCCTTAAATTTAAAATTCACTTTGAATTCCAGACATCTGCTTTATTAATGAATCTAGCAAGAAATGTAATAAATGTTACATTATTTCAGACTACATATATATTGTTGCATATTCTATTCTATATCTATTGCATATCACACTAAAAAAAGCCAACCGTTTGTAACAAACAAAATGTGTGATGTAAAGAATCTTTCACGTTTTCAACCAAATTCTCCAGTGCTCTGTTATTTGTTAGGATTTGCAAGATGATTTTCCTGACATAAATCTGCTGCTCTTGAGATTCTATTCTAAACAATTTTCTCAGATATGATGGGCTGATCTATAGTTTATTACATTAGCCAGTCTCGGTTTCCCATCAGACATGTCATTGATAAATGTTGCAGAATGTCAGTGTTATGAAAACTGTAAATGTTACACCATGGCACGACATTTCATTTCATTTGTTAAGGCAATTTCCCTTGATGAGTTTGGATGGAAATCAAAGTCAGCAGGATGCACGTTTGGTGCTTGTTCCCATTTTTCTTACAATATATTATTGACTCATATTTCTGTCCTGATTGTCATAAAAACATTTTTGTAATAGATCGATGTACACTATGCTCAAGAGACTTACGCTGTACCCTCCAGTGGAAGATATATTGAGTTTTCTTTAAGCATCTATTAATCAGCAGCTGATTTACTTAAAAAAATGAGAGCATCAATTTAAAACTGCTGTCCGCTCAAATCCTGTCATTGTTATGTCTGTTGCTTGATAAATATAAAAATGATACTAAAAAATAATGTTACTGTCTGAGGTTGTTTATGGGAAACAGATGGGGTGATATTCTGAAGCTGAGCCCCAAAGGTGTCATCTGAAATCCTGACGCCCCTTAAAATAAATTGGCTGACCAGCCCACCTAGATACACACACACACACTGTCACACTCTTCCAGAATGCAGACAGATACACACTGCTGGACACACATACACATGCATAATGTCAGGCACATACACATAGATGCTCTATGTCAGAAACACAAATTATCAGATACAAACACAGATGCACACACACTGACATATAGACACACAGTCAGGCACGTAAATGCAGTCAGACAAACACAACCAGTCACACACAGATACACACTGTCAGACACACATAGGCCCAGTTGCACAAACCAACACACTATCAAACAGTCATGTACACACAGGCAAACACACTCACATATGCACACAGCCACATATTTACATGAACGCTGTCAACAAAACAGTTACCACTGCCTCTACCCTTTCTTCATTCTTTCAGACAGTTCTACTTCAAAGGCTGTGTAGTGTGACCAGAACCTTAGTAAACCATTTGCTGTGCTACACACATTTCACAGCAGGACAACTAGCAATCCAGTGTATCCAGCACACAGTGCTCTGCATCAGAATACTGTGTAAAGATACACATTACAACACAAACATGCACTATTAAGGCCAGGGATGCAGGGATGAAGTGATATTCCATCCTCCAGTGCTGTCTCCTGTGAGGGCCCCATATGATACAGCGTCCATTATGATACCGCTAGCCTATGCAATATATTTTAGTGGAGATATAGATATCTAGATACAGGGTCCCATGCAAGCCCCTGAACCGGGGCCCTTAGCAGGGTACTGCCGGTACCCCCTTTTCACCCATATGGCAGACCCAATTACCAAGGAAACCAATGGAATGCTTAGTAAATATTGGAAAAAAACTCCAAACGGTATGGCGGGCAGGACCCCCAAAGCTTTACTTTGTTAGTAGAGCTTATAGTCTTTATTTAAGTACATTTTTCCAAGTAAACTTCCAAATGTTTTGATATCGCCTATCAATCTAACCTATGCAGGCAATTAGCTATACTTTACTTACATTTTCAATTATACAAAATATATTCTGCATTTTGAATTTACTATATTTATTCACCAATATAAGCTCTAATATAGGAGTCAATAAGCAATAGCATAGCATAAGGAAGATATACACACATAAATTACTAGAAATTATACATCCAAAATATCAAATATGTTAAAAAAAAAATAAAAAAAAATGTAATTGTTACATTTTTGTACCTTGAGTTACTTGAAGGTGCATTGCAATTGAAATGGTATTTCCATAAACCAGCTTAAAAAACACCCCATTACATTAATTACATATTTAGCTAACCAATCAATAGTAAAAATTAGCTGTAAATGTAAGAAAAACTCCAATATTTAACTTTGCAGTAACGAGTAAAAAATTATTACTGTTGCTCATGCTCTACATTCTCAATTTAAAGCAATGGTAAAAAACGAACAACACAAGATATTATATGATGTTGCACAGACACTCGCATCACCATAACCACTACAGATCCTGCAAGGGAATTAACTAATGTGAGCTAAATAAGTACTTGGACGGCACAATGCAGAAGCAATGCTCCAGCATATATGGAGTTCAGTTTATGCTCTACCGATTCACCTGAAAGCATTGAAAGCTTCCCAGAAATATAATCACTCCAAAAACTGTTGTGGTTCTGGTGCTTGGAGTGTCACTTTAAGGCTCTCTGATGTCCTTTCTACATTTACACTTGGAAAATGTTTCAGTGGTGTTTTGGAAAATTTACATCCGCATTAGGGATCAAGATAGACTGTTGCACTGCACATCAAATACAATTTATTTACATTCATTTTAACTTCTTTCTTTTTTTTACAATTTTCCTTAGGCCATTACTGGGATGGCAATAGACAACCATTTACTGGCACTGAGGGAGTTAGCACGAGAACATTGCAAGGAATTGCCTGAGCTCTTTACTGATGAAATGTATTTGGCCAGCAATCGATTCATTCTCTCAACCAGTCAGGTGAGTGTGTAGCTGTTTATCTTCCCCTTCTGTCCAAACAACCTGTCCTTACTTGTTAACATTGTTATTCACAAAGGTAACAGAAAGAAATATGACAAATATCATGCTTTGTTTGTATTTGAGTAGAGAAAGTGGTGATCACCAAAATTATATTTGAAATTTCATATTAAATATATCTGGAAACCGAAAAATCACAACAAGATTTTAAAATTAGGGCTACTACTTGAGAAATTATTTGAAATACACAGTAATATATGACACTGTTTGTAAATTGATTAAAACACGCATGGGCTGTTGATGGTAGGACCATAGTTGGGGAGAGTTGGGAGAAAAAAAACGAATTTGCTCACACATCATATTTCTTTTTTTTTCAGTAAAATAACTGTGTTGATAACTGTCTTTAATAAAATGGCATAAATAGCTAAGTAATACATACAAATCCTGAATCACCAAAGGGGTTTATTCCCTAAACTCTGTATTACGAGGCATCAATAATTCATATGTTAACATTTAGGCAAAAACAGCTGGTATGGAAGAAAATCTCCTACACAGCTAAAGTCGTAGATTGGAATTTTTAGCCTTGGTTTTGCAATTCAAATTTCAATTCACTTCAATTTAAAATGTATAAAATAAGCCACCTTATACTTTGTTCAACTCTACTCTTTTTGGCCTACATTTTGCGTGTTATTTTTAAACATATCGCAACAAGCTACGTAGTACATGAGCTCACGTTACTTCTCTTGAATGATGCACTCACTCACTGCAAGGGTCCAAAACAACAATTCATAGGGTCATTCTCTCAGTTGTAACTAGATAGGAGATAAAAGGGAATTGGAAATTTTAGGCAATAATTCCTGAGATGGAAAATTTCACCAGGTCCGTTACGTTTACAGTTTGACTATTTTGGCGTAAAATTTTAAATTCACTTTGAATTCCTGCCAATTCACACTTTAGTGAATTACTGTGTTTAAGGACAAAGTAGATATTGTGAAAGAGTGGCATTTGACTTAGCTTTGTATCTCCCACTGGTAGTATTTGGATGGAAATGTGTAAGCTGCCTTGCTGTCTTTAACTCCTTTGCGGTGACCATTGTTTTATATTGTTTGGACTCAAGCATTAACTGATGTAACCAGACTCCCCATCTCCAACATCAATTTTGATGATTGTGAAACTGCAGAAAAAACCCAAGTGGGTATCAACCATGTGATTACCTCAATTTAAAAACCCCTTGGATTGAGAGATATTGTTTCTTTTTCCTGACGTAGTAGTCTTTAAACCCTTAAGGACACATGACATGTGTGACATGTCATGATTCCCTTTTATTCCAGAAGTTTGGTCCTTAAGGGGTTAAATAGTAGTGTGCTTATCCCAAGTATCCCTTACTTACTGAGCGTAATGGTGCTATTGTCCTCGATGGGATGAGGACACCATGGTGGATTGTCCATCGCATGGTTTCTCTCTAAAAAACTAAATTAAACAGAACTTGCAATAAAGGAAGGATAAACTTTAGATGACTCTTTACAGGAACTGTTCAGGAAGGCTGTGCAAGTCACATGCAGGGAGGTGTGACTAGGGATCATAAACAAAGAGAATTGAGCAGTGAAACTGCAGGGACATGATCTGTACACTAAAACTGCTTCATTAAGCTAAAGTTGTTTTGGTGACTATAGTGTCCCTTTAATATTTACCCAATTCAGAGGTAAGGTTCCCTGTTACTCATAGCTTGTAGAGAGTCCCCTAATTACTTCTTGTGACACTCTACCATGTGCATGAAGTGGCAGAAAGGTGAGACACAAGGGTTGCTGTCTTCAATTTACATGGAGTTCCAGGGGTAATCAGCTTGTTTATTTTAACTATTTGCTGCCTCTCGGTTATAGTTTGCCAATGAAAATTCACAACAACTATAACCTTTTAAAACTGTTTGATTTGTTATTGCATTTGGCACCCTAATAAACATAAGTGATCACAGAACTATTTTGAGAGTTAAATGCACTTTATACTTTAGAGTTAAAAGATCTCCCCATCCTACAGCCTTTCCAGCTTTTGAAATTGCTTAGAACATTGTTAAAAACCACAAAGATGATTCATCAAGAAAAGCAATCAATTCCATTAGACATATGCAGTGAATTACCCAAATGGGTTTCTGTACAAAGCTGTCTGAACCAAAACATGAGAATGTTGTGCAAAAGTGATATAATTGTTCTAGACGTCACGCTGAATAGAATGATGCTCCTATTATTGTTTAACTTATAGTGTCCGTCCATAGTGTAGTGAAAGGACAAGCACTAGTACAACATTTGAAAAATACATAAAAACATGTACATTTATTTATTAGTCAAGTTAGAAAAGCAACGGTGTACATACAAAAAATACAGCATAAATAGTATAAAGTAAGCAAAGACCAGTAAAGTCCAAATATAAAAAAATGTGCTTACGTTAAGCAAAATAGTAAATGCAAGTGGAAAAAAACTCGCTGAAGTTTATTTAGCATATGTTGCCTTTACAAGGGGTACGTATTTTCACCTTGGCTCTTTAGTCCCTTAAAAACATTTGAGAATAAAAAAAATATTGAATTAGTGACATAGAGGTTTACCAAAGCAGCGTGCGCTCCTTTAAATACATAAAGGGCATGACAACAGTAAAGGAGGAGACTATATTTAAAAGAAGAAAAACTACCACAACAAGAGGACATAGTCTTAAATTAGAGGGACAAAGGTTTAAAAATAATATCAGGAAGTATTACTTTACTGAGAGGGTAGTGGATGCATGGAATAGGCTTCCAGCTGAAGTGGTAGAGGTTAACACAGTAAAGGAGTTTAAGCATGCGTGGGATAGGCATAAGGCTATCCTAATTATAAGATAAGGCCAGGGTCTAATGAAAGTATATAGACAATTGGGCAGACTAGATGGGCCAAATGTTTCTACTTGATGTAACGTGATGATCTAAAATAAGAGCAGGTAAGAGTAATCTGGTGATGCTCGGGACTAACGGCACACATTCATCCAGGCCCGGACTGGCCATCGGGCACACCGGGCAAATGCCCGGTGGGCCGCGATGGCCGTGGGGCCGAGGCCGGCAGGGGAGATCACAGGATCTCCCCTGCCGGCCCGTGCAGGGCCAGCGCTATCCGAGCGCCGGCCCTGCATAGTGCCTCCATGGGCCGGTGGGGAGATCACAGATCTCCCTCACCGTCCCAGAGGCAGGGAAATGCGGCCGCCGGCTGGGTGAGGGAGGGAGGGAGGAGAGAGGACCCGGCGGAGCTCTAACAAGCAGCTCCGCCGGGTCCTCTCGCGAGATTCTGAGCGTTGCCGCGGTTACCACGGCAACGCTCAGATCTCGCGAGAGTGAACTCTAACCTGCAGGTTAGAGTTCACTCTCACCACTGGGCCACCAGGGATGGATGGCAGAACGGATCTCCTCCCCCTTCCCAGGATAAAGGTAGAGAAGAAGGGAGGGGGGAAATTTTTTTATTTTTTTTATTAGTAAAAAAAAAAAATATTTAAATTTAAATAAAAAAATACATTCACTCACAAACACAGCACCCCCAGACACAGCACCCCCCAGACACAGCACCCCCAGACACACACTGCACCCCCAGACACACACTGCACCCACAGACACACACTGCACCAGACACACACTGCACCCAGACACACACTGCACCCAGACACACACTACCCCCAGACACACACAGCGCACCCAGACACACACAGCACCCCCAGACACACACAGCGCACCCAGACACACACTGCACCCAGACACACACTGCACCCAAACACACACTACCCCCAGACACACACAGCACCCCCAGACACACACAGCACCCCCAGACACACACAGCGCACCCAGACACACACAGCGCACCCAGACACACACAGCACCCCCCAGACACAGCACCCCCTACACACACAGCACCCAGACACACACAGCACACTCATATATATATATATATATATATATATATATAAAAATAAAATAACCCTCAGTGAGTTAACAGACAAAGAAAATTAGAAACCTAGAATGTGACAGCAGATAAAAACACCCTCACACACAGCACCCCTCTTACATACACACACTGCGCCCCTCACACATACAATAAGTCCAAATATATATATATATATATACATACACACACACACACACACACACTACAGCACCCCTCACAATGCACCACTACACACATTACGCTCCAGATACACACTAGATCCCTTACTCTATATGCACTCTTTATCCTCTATACACACACACACACACACACCGGGTCCTTTACACAGTAGATCTCCTACACACACACACTACATTCCTTGTCAGCAAACACATACAACATTCTCTAAACACACCCTCTCTGCAACCCCTACACACACTACGTCACCTATACACACACACTACTGCCCGTATGCACACACTCGCTGCATCCCCTATAAAACTATGCCCCCTATACACACACTCTCTACAGCCCCTAGCCACACATATTACACCACAAACACAAATTAAATTGACCTATTTATACAATACCACACCACACTCTACACACACGCAATCCCACAAGCAGGCTCCAAACATATGCACCATGCACTTTCCTGGCCCTTTTGTCCTCTGGTATCCCACTTGTGGAGACACCAGAGACAATTTAAAAGCAAACACAACACAAGCATGTTATTACATTTGCTTGCGCTGGGCAGAACAAATTCAGGGCCTTTTTCTAATGCCAGAGCTCTTCAGCAGGGCTCTGGGCATTGAACCAACATGCTCACTTTGAGAGGGGGCGTGTTGTCATTAGTGATGACAAAACACACACTCTCTGGCCCCGGCCCCTTCTTAGGGGGCCGCTCTGATTGAAAAATGCCCGGGCCTAATTTTTTTCCCAGTCCGGCCCTGCATTCATCCCTCTTTAATAAATCCCATTGGAAGCTACCATGGGATATAGGCCTTCACTTATCCATGCAAGTAGTTATCAGGGAGAAAGGTATAAATAGTCTCACGCAGAAGACAGAGGTCACTACAGAAACAAGCTGTGATCAATATGTGCACTTGAATGTATGCAAGTTATTAAAAGTATGCAGCCTTACAAAAGCCTATATTTAAACTGGAGCATTGGCTGTATTGATGACCAACATTTTAAATGGAACACCTGGGGGTCATAATGATAATGGGGGGGGACCTACTGCCCCCCCCGGCCCTCAACCCTGGGCAGCGGGTGGGGGCCATAATGATAATGGGGGGGGGACCTACTGTCCTCCCCCCCCAGTCCCCACCACTGGGCGGCAGGTGGGGGCCATAATGATAATGGGGGGGACACACCTACTGTAATGGTGGAGGTCGGGGGGGGCAGTAGGTCCCCCCCATTATCATTATGACCCCCACCCACCGCGCAGGGGTGGGGGCCGGGGGGGGACATTAGGTCTCCGCCCTTATTTTACTTTAGGGCCCCCACCCGTCATTTAGGGGTGGGGGCCAATAGTTTTTTTGTTTGTTTTTTTACAGTGAGCAGCCACAGGCTGCTCACTGTTTAGTGGACATGCCCCTACTCGCGGTATAACGAGTAGGGGCATTGGGGAGATTTTAATCTTCCTTATGCTATTATGGGGGTCATATTGACCCCCATAGAGTGAGGGGGGGCCTGGGGGACTTATGAAGTGGTGGGGAGCACTACTCCCTGCCGCTTCTATCTTTACATATTACAAGGAGGGAGCTGCACGCCGGTAGCTCCCTCCTTGTAATAAACTGAAAGAACAAACGAACACTGATATTCAGTGTTTGTTTGTTCGGCTGATATTTCTATTCACTCATTCGTCTGTCTGATGAATGAATGAATAGATGAAATTCCCGTTGTTTCACTGGGCATGTGCGGGAATCTCACAGTCTATCTAGTGTGGGCTGATGACGTGTCCCACAGGGACTTCATCTACCCACACAAAGATGGCAGCGCCCTGAATAAAGATCGGGGCAGAAAATAAGGAATAAAAAATAGGTAATGTGGGGGGCTTAGGGGCATTTGGGGGTGACTAGGGTGTCAGTTAGAGATAGTAGAGGCCGGAGGGGGGGTTAAAAAAAAAAAACAGGATTCGGCCTGACAGTGCCGCTTTCAGTGATGGCAGCGTTTGAATACAATCTAAAATCTAAAATAAAATGAATTTGTGTAGGAAAACAAGCATGGTGATGATATGCATGTTTATTTTATGGGGTTTTTTCCTGTACGACAAAGAATCAGGGAGTTTATAGCTTTTCGTATGGTCAGTCTGTCAATGGAAAGGTACGAAGAATGCTATCAGGTTTCAAAAAGAGTACACAGGGTCAGAACATAGTATAGACGATTTATGAATTAGTGAAAATGCCTCAAAATGATTGTAGACTTCAGTTCTGCATTTTGGGCTTGAACTTGGATCATAAACAGGCAACCAAATTACTGAAAAGACATTAGGTATGAGTACATGCGGTATTTTCTGCACAGTTCTTTAGAGTCGAGAAGGCAAGCTAACAATGTTTTCTTTCATTTTCAGGTTCCTACTACTATGGAAATGTTTTGTTGCTATGGGCCGGTGGTCCCAAATGGCTATGGTTCATGCTATAACCCACAGCCTGAACATATTCTGTTCTGTATCTCGAGCTTCCGAGAATGCAAAGAAACATCTTCCACAATGTTTGCCAAAGCCGTAGAAGAAAGTCTAATTGCCATGGGGGATCTGTGCGCCAAATACAATACTAAGCCGGAAACACCAATAAAGGAGAAAAAGACTAAATCACAAAATGGGCATAAGTCATAGTCCATTACAAATGACTAAAAATACAAAAAGAAATAATTGAATTATTTATTTTCCATAAATACCATATTTTTGTGACTGTTAGTAATTTATATTTTACAAAATAAAATGTATCTGATTCAAAAGAAATATTTAAAAGAGATATCTATAGGGGAAATGTGGAAGATGAAATTATAAAACCTTATGGGAAAACCTTATTAAATTAAAGTTTGTATTAATAGGTATGAGATCATAACAGACTTTTTTGGTTTGGAATTTTTCCCTCAAATGTATGACATTTAATGTATTTTTTCAAGCTCGTTATGAAGTACCTGATGCTAATTAATGGATTGATGCATTTATGTCAGGCGATTGGATTTCCATATTATGATTTAAATCCGATCAGAATCAATTGGTCCATCATGTCATCCAATGCCCTAGCTACATACGTTTGCCTAAATTCTTTAACCTAATTTCGACTCTGGGTATGTGTGTGCCAACCCAATGAAATTCGGGAATATTTCCTTCTGCCATTGTTTGAGGTCTATTTCATGGGATTTGCCACCAGAGGTCTATTTCATGGGGTTAGCCAATAAATGGGATTTATTGGAAATGCAAAGTTAATTATGAATTTTACATTTACAATACCTAAAATGGAAAAAAAAATCTCTCAATGTATTTATTTTGCTATTTTGGCCTAAATTTATGTTGAAATTTAGTTTAGTTATCTTCTGATTTTTGATAATATTTTCCAAAAGTTCCTCTAAAATTATATCTTACATTTACAGATTCACAATTTAACATTTACAAAATGTACAAATTCACCATATATTTTACCTTTTACATAGTAATCTAATATTAATTTTTGGAATTATTATTTATTGTGACAAATGTTACAAAAATATTAATACCAAATCAAAAAACAGCAGAGAGCAGAAATCACATATATGACATCTTTCTACTTTTTACTTGGTATTTTTATTTTTGTTAGTAAAACACCGAATTGTTTTTTTTATTTTTCTTGTGCTTTCTCTGGGTGTCAGCAATAAATGTCCGCATTTTCAGATGACTGTAGGATTGTGTCAGTACCTAGATTGTAAAATATCATATGATTATTTTTCCATTAAATCCATGTATAAAGTTAATTATTCTGAGCAAAATAATACTGAACTAAATGAGACAACTTGTGTGTTTTGTGTATGTACGTATTAGTTGATTAACATTGCTAAAGTTCCTCATTACCCAGACATGCAGCAATTATTTTATAATAAGCAATGCCAACAAAAACCTTTTCTCTTAAATTAAATTACAAGGAACCCAAAGAGGCAAAGCTTCTGCAAGTACAATGAGATTAGATCTTACATATTACAGCAGAAGGCCAAATATGGATTGTAAGTGAATTTTCTAAATCTAATTATGTATTATTCCTAATTTAAATGCCTTAAGCAGTATGACTTTAAATCATCGGTGTTACAAATTTGTACAGTATGCAAATCTTTCTCTACAAAAATCTTGTAAATGTATATTTTTCAGTTCTATGAGCATATTTTAGATTCAAAACTAAGTCTTATTTTCTTTATCATACTGGGTCAAAGATGGAGACATAGATGGTCTTCTTCAAATTAGATAATTCTTTGTTTTTGTTTTTTTCCTTAAGGAAAACAAACAACAATCTTATGGTCAAAATACTACCAGATCCAACAGGCAGATCTTAGGTCACGTCCAACTAACGTAGAAATAGAGAATGGATAGATGCGTATTACTGGTCCTTTGATTTAGCCGGGCTTAAAGGGACACTATAGTCACCAAATTAACATTATCTTAATGAAGCAGTTTTAAGATGGACCCTCGTTCTTACCTCACAGAGCTAAAATAGAGTTCTTGATAAAACAACTAACTGAGAAAGCACTTGCTTGGGCCAACCCTATCTGGAAATCTGGGTTTAAATTGTAAGCTTTGTGGCCAAGGCTGTTTCATGCCCTGACTGTTTTTTTGTAATTAAACCCTTTATTTTGTTGCAGTTGTCTGTGTTACACAATAAAATATCACTAGTGAGCGACATGCATGCACATATTATCCTTTGCACAATTATTAATGCTATTATTAATGATCAGCCCTCACTCATCTATCTCAGTAATTCTAGTTATAAGGCAGCATTTAGTTCCCATATAGCTCAGTGTCTATGTCCCAGTTCACACCAGACCTATTTCCGTTTCCGGCCATGTATCTGTATTTAGTGAATCAGGCAGTGCGCGGCCACGTGCTGTAAGCCATGATTTCTAACACTTGGAGTGTGAGCTGCGCATGCGCAGTGCTGCCGGAGTCCCCGTGACGTCGCAGAGCCAGCACGGGTTGCCATGGCGACGCGCCGAGCCGCGTGTAAACATATAGCAGTCAGCATGTCGGAGGAGGCCCTGGTCACAGTGAGGTTCGGTCCGTACGCCAGCAACTCGGGCGTGGTGGATCACCGGATATTCCGGCTGCAGGGGCTGCGAGGTGAGGGCTTGTCAGCAATGGTACTGCCTGCCCACCCACTGCAACTCCCATAGCTCTCGGGCAGCAGCAGCTGAGTGTTGTGGGAGTTGCAGTCACGTGGCTGCTAATAACACAGTGAGACACAGTCCCAGGTCCTGGAGATCCAGCATGGTTTGTGGGGATCAGCTCTCTGCAATGAGCTGGTGGACAATACCTGGAGACAAGTACTGTATAGAAATTCATATCATGTGACAAAGAATTACATTGATCTTATTTATGTCTACAGTGATCTATGTGTGTCATGCAGTGGTTATGGTGCCAGTATGACCTTGGCGCTATGTGCGTCATGCAGTGGTTATGGTGCCAGTATGACCCTGGCGCACAGTACCTGCTGGGTGTGCGCCTTGCATTTCTGCTGCGATCAGGAAGTGTCAGAGGGAGCGGTACAAATATGTAATTGTTTTCCTTTATTATTGCAAGCAATCATTCGTGTCATAGAGAGTTTTGCATTAATCAAGATTTATTCATCTGGGACATCACAAGTGAAGTGACCGGTACCGCTCACAGATTGTGTATAGAGCAACATCAGGTCCAGTGTTGGATCCAGAGCCTGATCTCGGGAGGGGCACTTGTAGATTATTTAAAGAAATAATCCATGTACAATAACCACTACAGCTCTGTGTGCCGGGAGTGCCAGGACCCCCTCCCAGAGTAAGTAGTTAAACCGGGGCTGTAGTAGGGCATAGGAGCAGTGGTGTGTGTGTGAGGGGTGTAGTGTGTGTGTGTGTGAGCAGTGTGTATGGGTGGGCAGTGTGTATATGGGGGGGCAGTGTGGGGTAATGAGTGTACTTGGGGGCAATGTGTGTGGGGGTAGTCAGAATACAACAATAGGTCAGCGCTAATTTACAAACAATATGTAGGTAGGCAGCAACCTAAAAGAAGGGGATCCCTCCAGACCGTTCAGGGAAACAGAAAATAGCACAAAAAACAGAAAAGGCTGCGCCAATAGTCAGAAGTAATAGTTCAAAATAAAGTCTCACTAGAGCAGCAGGGTAGGATTAAACTGCTTGTGGCGACTTTTCCTCAGTGGCTTAGGATTTCCGAGTAGCTTAGGACAGCGTTTCCCAATTGGTGTTCCGCGGAACAATATTTGGGATTCCGTCCCCAAAAATTTAAAACAAAATGGGCAAGGGAGCAGTGAGCAGTGATCTCCCTGCTCAGCTCCCTCGCGCGCACAGCAGTGATGCCAGAGCCGGAATATGACGTCACTCCGGCTCCAGCATCACTAAGAGGCACGCGAGGGAGCTGAGCAGGAAGATCACTGCTCCCTCGCTGCCCGCACGCCAGCCCCACTGGACCCCAGCGACTGCTCTCCAGTCACTCAGCAGCCCCACTGGACCACAGGTACTGCTCTCCAGCCACCCAGCAGCCCCACTGGACCACAGAGACTTCATGCCAGCAGCCCCACTTGACCCCAGGGACTCCATGCCAGCACTCCTAAAGGTAGGGGGGCCGGGTGGAGTAAAATGCTAAAAATAAATAAATTGTATGTGTGTCTGTAAGGGAGTTTGTTTGTGTTTGTCAGTGAGAGTGAATGTGGTGCTTGTCAGTGAGTGTATGTGTTTGTCAGTGAGAATGTATCTGTTCTTGTCAATGAGAGTGTATATGTGTTTGTATGTGTGTCTGTAAAAGAGTGTGTGTGTTTGTCAGTGAGAGTGTATGTCAAAGAGTGTGTGTGTCTGTGTCAAGGTTTGTGTATGTGTCACTGTGTGCATCTAAGTGTGTATGTGCCCGTATGTATCAGTGTGTTTGTATGTGCCTGTGTGTGTGTGTGTGTGTGTGTGTGTATCTGAGTTTGTTAGTATGTATCTGTGGGTGCAAGTGTGTGTATGTCACTGTGTGTATCTGAGTTTGTGTGTGTGTATTTGTGAGTCAAGATGTGTGTATCTGTGTGTGTGTGTGTATCTGTGTGTCAGATACATATGCACACTGACACAGAGATACACATACTGGCGCATACAAACACAGATATACACACCTTGACACACACCGCACATGAAAACACAGATACACACACCTTGACACACAGATACATACACACACACACAGATACACACTGTGTGTCAAGGTGTGTGTATCTGTGTGCCACGATCTGCCAGTGTGTATATCTGTGTGTCAGAGTCATACACACTGGCACATAGAACACAGATACACACACCTTGATACACAGACACATACAAACACAGATACACAGACTTTGAAACATAGACGCACACACCTTGACACACAGATACATACATACACACAGATACACACACCTTGACACACAGTGTGTATCTGTGTCAGTGTGTGTATCTGTGTGCCACTATCTGCCAGTGTGTGTATCTGTGTGTCAGATTCATACACACTGGCACATACAAACACAGACACACACACACACCTTAATACACAAACACATACAAACACAGATACACACACCTTGACACACAGATAGATAGATACATACATACACACACAGAGATACACAATGTGTGTAACTATGTCAGATATACAACTGGCACATACAAGCACAGATATACACACCTTGATACACACCGCACATTTAAAAAAAAACGTTGCAATTGAATTTTTTTTTTCCGGGGGGCGGGTTCCATGATGTTGATACACTATGTCAAAGGGTTTCACGGGAAAAATTTATTGGGAACCCCTGGCTTAGGATATTCGTTTATGTAAGGAGACAAGAGGGAGATAGGAAAACTAAATTAAAATAACCATAAAGCGTTTCACCATATGTGGCTTCTTCCATTTGAAGAAGCCACATATGGTGAAACGCATTATGGTTAGTTTAATTGTGTATTTTAAGCAATAAAAGTCTTTTGGTCACCCAAGCTGTATCAATTTTCTTTTTATTGTATTTTATATGCACTATTTTATTTTACTCTTCCTGTCATTTTTATCTGTTCCTGTACTCCAAGAAATCCGAGTTGGGGATCATTTCACCAACGCTTTATCAATAGAGCAGTGTTTCCTGCTCTAGAGTTGTGAGTATAATTTTATTTATTTTATATCTCATTTTATCTAGGGATCGACCGATATTGATTTTTTTTAGAGCCGATACCGATATTCTGTGAACTTTCAGGCCGATAGCCGATATAATTTGCCGATATTCTGTACATTTACCATTTTGGAAAATAAAAACTATTTCTAAAAGTAAATGCACAAAATATACATGCCACGTGTAGTGGATGCAGTGTGTTTAGACAGGGGAGCTGTATGTGTTTGTGCAGTGTGTGTTTGTGTAGTGTGGATACAGTGTGTGTTTGTGTAGTGTGTGCAGTGTGTATTTGTGTAGTGGATGCAGTGTGTATTAGTGTAGTGTGTATATAATGAAAGCAGAGTGTTTGTGTAGTGTGTGGGTAGTGTGCGTAAAGTGAATGCAGTATATACTAAGTGCAAAGTGTGTGTTTGTGTAGTGTGTGTGTGTATATAATGAATGTAGTGTGTTTATATAATAGAGTGTGTTTGTGTAGTGTGTATATAATGCAGTGTGTTTGTATAGTGTGCATTATATAAACACACTATGCAAACACACACTGCATTATATACACACACTGCATTATATAAACACACTACACACACACTGCATTATATACGCACACTACACACACACTGCATTATATACACAAACACATTGTATTATATATGCACACTACACACACTGCATTATATACACAAACACACTGCATTATAAATACACACACACACACACTGCATTATATACACACACACACTGCATTATATACACACACTACACAAACACACTGCATTATATACACACACTACACAAACACACTGCATTATATAAACACACTACACAAACACACTGCATTATATACACACTACACAAACACACTGTGTGTGTGTGTGTTTGTATAGTGTGTGTATATAATGCAGTGTGTTTGTGTAGTGTGCATTATATAAACACACTACACAAACACTGCATTATATACACACACTATACAAACACACACACTCTGTATTATATACACAGTGTGTTTATGTAGTGTGTGTATATAATGCAGAGTGTGTGTGTTTGTATAGTGTGTGTATATAATGCAGTGTGTTTGTGTAGTGTGCATTATATAAACACACTACACAAACACTGCATTAAATACACACACTATACAAACACACACACTCTGCATTATATACACAGTGTGTTTGTGTAGTGTATGTGTATATAACGATAGCCGATATAATTTGCCGATATTCTGTACATTTACCATTTTGGAAAATAAAAACTATTTCTAAAAGTAAATGCACAAAATATACATGCCACGTGTAGTGGATGCAGTGTGTTTAGACAGGGGAGCTGTATGTGTTTGTGCAGTGTGTGTTTGTGTAGTGTGGATACAGTGTGTGTTTGTGTAGTGTGTGCAGTGTGTATTTGTGTAGTGGATGCAGTGTGTATTAGTGTAGTGTGTATATAATGAAAGCAGAGTGTTTGTGTAGTGTGTGGGTAGTGTGCGTAAAGTGAATGCAGTATATACTAAGTGCAAAGTGTGTGTTTGTGTAGTGTGTGTGTTTATATAATAGAGTGTGTTTGTGTAGTGTGTATATAATGCAGTGTGTTTGTATAGTGTGCATTATATAAACACAATATGCAAACACACACTGCATTATATACACACACTGCATTATATAAACACACTACACACACACTGCATTATATACGCACACTACACACACACTGCATTATATACACAAACACATTGTATTATATATGCACACTACACACACTGCATTATATACACAAACACACTGCATTATAAATACACACACACACACACTGCATTATATACACACACACACTGCATTATATACACACACTACACAAACACACTGCATTATATACACACACTACACAAACACACTGCATTATATAAACACACTACACAAACACACTGCATTATATACACACTACACAAACACACTGTGTGTGTGTGTGTTTGTATAGTGTGTGTATATAATGCAGTGTGTTTGTGTAGTGTGCATTATATAAACACACTACACAAACACTGCATTATATACACACACTATACAAACACACACACTCTGTATTATATACACAGTGTGTTTATGTAGTGTGTGTATATAATGCAGAGTGTGTGTGTTTGTATAGTGTGTGTATATAATGCAGTGTGTTTGTGTAGTGTGCATTATATAAACACACTACACAAACACTGCATTAAATACACACACTATACAAACACACACACTCTGCATTATATACACAGTGTGTTTGTGTAGTGTATGTGTATATAATGGAATGTGTGTGTGAGTGGGCATTTTTTTATTAAATTATTATTTATTTTTCCTATTTAATTATTATTTATTTTTTATGCCCCCCCCTCCTTGTTTCATACTTGGCCAGGGAGGGGGGATATAGTAGTCCCTGGTGGTCCAGTGGCATTCGCTGAGCTGTGGGGGGAGCGGGCAGCAAGCGCTTACTCACCTCCCAGGAGCTCCTCCAGCTCCCCAGTGTAACTCTCGCTGCCAGCGTGTCGGCCGCAGGTCTCGCGAGAGTTACACTGGGGAGCTGGAGGAGCTGCTGGGAGGTGAGTAAGCGCTTGCTGCCCGCTCCCCCCAGGACCGCCGGGCTTGTAATGAGCCTGGCGGTCCTAGGAGGTATTATCGGCAATATCGGTATCTGAATTGGCCAATACCGATATTGTCGAAAATACAGAATATCGGCCGATTATATCGGTAAAACCGATAATCGGTCAATCCCTAATTTTATCATATTGAGAGCACTATTGTTGTCCTTTTATCCTATTTTGGAGCCCTGGATACCCAGTCTGTATTGACGGACGTACCTCTCCTGCATATCCCATAAGCGGGGATTATACTGCTGTATGCCCTCCACTCCTGAGCTGGTCATAGCTCTTGCAAATGTGAGTGCACTACTTACTTTTTCATTCACTTTATCTCTGGATCTCAACATATTGCACTATTGGCTGTTTTCGTATCTCCTTCTTGTCTCCTTACATATACGAGATCCGGAGCGTTGCTGTGGTAACCATGGCAGCACTCCTTGCTCACGAGAGTAGGACCCGGAGGAGCTGCAGACTGAGCTCCCGTGTCCTCTCTCCCTCCCTCCCCTGACGGCTCCCAGCACGGTGCCTGCGGACCGGGGAGGGAGATCTCTAAACTCCCCTACGGTCCTTGAAGGCACATTGCAGGGCTGGCGCTTGGACAGTGTCAGCCTTGCATTAGCCGGCATGGGAGAGCCTCGGGGGGGGGAGGAGGGGGGGTCAGGTCAACATACTCCATGTAGATAAGTTATAGAGAATAGCTCTCACCATGAACATAACAAGAGGGTGTATACATGTATACAGTTTCCCGGCCCTTTAAGAGACAACCGGGAAACGTTCATTAAAAAAAAAAAAAGGAAGACAGTTTAACACTCAACATAAATTGCAAGTTCACTTTATTATGCACTCACACGGCAGCAATATTTCAACCCTATAACAATGTCGTTATCAAGCTTGATAAAATTCCCGTCATAGGGTTGAAACATTGCTGCTTATTGAGTGCACAATACGGAATATGCAATTTATGCGAAGAGCTGGACAGTCTTCCTTTACTGTTCAACATACTCTGTCAGTGTTATTCACTGAAGTGAGAATGTCAGGGAATTCACAGTAAATTCCAAATTGAGAATAATAAACGCCGAAATGAAAGCAGAGCTAACTGGGAGAATTTTTCTGGCTCAGCTATATTTTTTTTTTTTACCTTAAATTAGAATTCACTGTGAATTATCTGATGTTCTCACTTTATTAAATAACCCTCTGTCACCGTTGCTGGAAAATTAATCATTTGCAAGAACCCAGGTACAGAAAAAAGATACACTTTATTTCTGGATCTTAAGCTGACATATCCTGAAAGATAAAGACGAACAAGTTGTGCCCAGTGGTTTACCAAGGAAATTATATATATATATATATATATTTGATTCCAAATTAAATCTTGATGGTATAGAATATTTATAGAGTAGATGATTAAAATTGCATTCAAAGGTATGAAGATATGAAATAATAGTAAAGACAAAGAAAAACCCAATAGCGTAATATTGTATGACCAGGGGGAAAATGTAAGAAAGTGTGAAGCTATCTACTAGCGCTCATGCATCAGTGTGTGACAATACAATCCTTGTTAAGGATATATAATGGATGATCTAGCAGGCCTCCTACTTAGGTGGGCGTACGGCCAGTGACAGTTTGATATGCGTGTCTCGCAGGTGGTATATAAAAAGAGACAAAAACAGGGGACACCAGTTGTATAATTCAATTGAGGCCAGAAATTAAATTTGATATAGAATTAAAATTACACTCACAAACGAAGAGCTTCCAAATCAGCTCTTAGTGATAGATTTGAAGCGGTATAATCCCTGCTCAAGGATATAGCTGTAAATATTTATTCTCGGAGATCCACAGTGTGGTATAAATAATGCAGATACAGAAATTGAGAAAATAATTTTAATAAAAAGAATTAAAGAAATGTTTTAGGGATCTAGGCAAATGCTTGCTCTATAGCATTGTTTCCCAACTGGTGTTCCTAGGGTTCCCTGAGAACAAAACTGGGGCTCTTCCACAATTTGCCCATCGGTGGCCCATACACATAGATCCACCCGATGGGTATCACTGAAAAGGGGCTCGGTCAGGCACCGTGGCCATTTAAGAGCATGACCGGGCCCCTGTAGTATAGGATGCTGGGAGAAGGTGACAACCGGCTCACTTCACAAACCAGCCTCAGCCAGCAGCACTCCAAGCAGGCCACCCTCCTACAGACAAAAGATATTTGCAGCCAGGAGAGTGGCTGCAAATATAAACATCATTACTTGTGTGTATATATCTGAGTGTGTGTGTATTCGCCTGTGTGAGTGTGTGTCAAGGTGTATATATGTGTCACTATGTGAGTGTGTGTATTTGTGTGCGTGTGTATGTACCACTGTGTGTATCTGTGCATCAGTATCTGTTTCTGTAGATTGTGTGTGTGTGTGTCAGTCCCTTTAACCCCTTAGTGACCAGACCGTTTTTAAATTTTCTTACCGTTAAAGGACCACTATAGTGCCAGGAAAACATACTCGTTTTACAATGCTTTCCTATGGACGCTTGCGTGTTCTCACTGTGATTTTCACAGTGAGAATCACACAAGCGCCTCTAGCGGCTGTCAATGAGACAGCCACTAGAGGTTGGATTAACCCAAATGTAAATATAGCAGTTTCTCTGAAACTGCTATGTTTATAAAACAAAATGGGTTAATCCTAGAGGGACCTGGCACCCAGACCACTTCATTAAGCTGAAGTGGTCTGGGTGCCTAGAGTGGTCCTTTAAGGACCAGGGCTGTTTTTACATTTCTGCGGTGTTTGTGTTTAGCTGTAATTTTCCTCTTACTCATTTACTATTATTATTATATTATATATCTCACTATTAAATGGTCTTTCTGAAGATACCATTATTTTCATTATATCATATAATTTACTATAAATATGATGAAATTTTTTTTTTTAAAAAACACACTTTTTCTAACTTTGACCCCCAAAATCTTTTATGCATCTACAACCGCCAAAACACACCTGTGCTAAGTAGTTTCTAAATTTTGTCCTGAGTTTAGAAATTGTAACGGAGCTCCAGTACTCCAACTGAGTACCTCCGCCAAGTCTGCTTCCTTGTAGCTATCACGGACCCTGAAAAACTTCAGGCCCAGATGCCGAGGCTTGACTGGGATCACTTAGGGCCTTTTCCACCCTGGCCCAAACACCAGACGACACATAGTGAAGGTTAAACAGCAACTCTTTAATGAATACAGCACACTTAGCTTAAGCCCCCAACAGCCTCATTTACATACAATAGGTTACATAGATTACTATAGTACAAGGAAGGGTGGGGTCAGACAATAGCAAGGGCTGATGGGAGATTGAGGAGGGACAGAGCAGCTAGTTTAAACTGGTCTGGCAGTGTCCCTGGGACAACGCCCTGCTGGGGAAACAATAGGACAGGAAAAAGGGGAGAGGGGGAGATGCACAGATCAGCAAATACATTCAATATACTCTGCACAAATAATAGGCACAATGTGACAAAACACAAAAGGAATTTGGGAGCCCAGTGATGGTGACTACCGTCACAGAAATACTCAATGTTAACATGTTCTTAGCTTTTTTTTTTTTTAGTTATAGGGCCATAAGTACAAGTAAGACATTGCTGTTTCAAAATATATATTTTTAATATTTATCAATAGTAACATTGTCACACTGTTATCTGTCAGAAATCTCTGAATCACACCTCACATGTACATATTTTTTTAAAGCTGACAACCCAGGGTATGCAATATGGGGTATGCGCAGTCTTTTTTAGTAGCCACTTAGTCACAAACACTGGCCACAGTTATCATTTATATTTGTTTGCACTGACGGATTGCACCCCACCCCCCCACTACCCCAGGCTCTCCCCTGCTGGCTAATGCAGGGCTGGCACTGTCCAAGCTCCAGCCCTGCAATGTGCCTTCACGGACCCGAGGGGAGATCAGTGATCTCCCTCCCCGGGCCGGAGCCACATTGCTGACAGCTGGCGGGGGAGGGTGGGAGACAGGACCCGGGAGCTCAGCCTGCAGCTCTTCCGGGTCCTTCTCTAGCGAGCACGTGGCATTTCTGTGGTTTCCACGGCAACACACCGGATCTCGCAAGAGTAAACTCTAGCCCTGTAGCTGCGGGCTAGAGTTCACTCTCACCAATGCGACATCAGGGATTCCCCACGAACCACCAGGGATCGAGAAATGTCCCCCCTTCCTCCCTCAGTAAAGGTAAGAAGGGAGGGGGACATTTATTTATTTTTATATAAAAAATATATATATATAATTTCAGGAGAAATCAGACACTGCAGGGATTTAATTACAAGCAGACAAGCTTCCCAGGGTATATCTCAAAGGGGATGTCCTGATTTTTATTTATTTATATAGTTGGAATCATAAATGGTAAGCACTGATTCTTAGAAGAATCTATTTATTGTTAATCACAATGAAACTGTAAGCAATGATTGAACTTTCACTGTAAA